GGTAATCACTTAGTGTAAGACCCGGACTATAAAGTGGGTGCATTAGGACCTCCCATCCGAGCTCCTGGAGCTCCTGGAGCTTCTGGCGCGTCACCAAAGACGTGTGTGGCCTGGCGTTGTCTTAATGGCACAGAATTCGGCCTCTGTTGATCAAAGATGGTCCCTTCTGGATGAGTGCTGCCTTCAAGCAGTCCTTTTTTTGGCAGTAGAGGGCTGGGTTGATCGTAAGGGAGCAGCTCGTTGTAGATGATTATTTGCCAAATCCACCAAACACATAGCAAAACTTGGTGCATCTTTGACTTAGAAATTACCAGAACGGTACCTAGCAAACCACTTTTGTGCTACACGTTCGTTTACAGTATCGTGTCCATAAGCTAAATTAATTTGTTCAGCCGCCTTGGCTGCTTTTTCGCCTTGATCGAAGAAAAATTTTAAATAAAAGCGAATTTTCTCTTTGCTGGTATCCTAATATATTTACATATATACATACACGTGCATCTCACACAAGTTCAATGTTGCCAAAAAAAGTGAAAAAAATTAAAAAAAAAAAATCTAATAAAATTTTGAACATACCAAACACGCCGCGACGCTGTGATAGTTTGACTGCTGCCAAAACAAACAAGAAAACACGAAATGAACGATTGAGAGAAAGGTGAAAAGCGGCGTCAAAAGACATATAAACATGAAAAATATTTTTGTGTAAATATACGATTGTAACTGATTGATATGCGAACATAAATCCACACATACCCACTCACACACACACTTATGTACAAACGAATTTAAATTTTGTGAAAATTACTCGAAAATGTTCACGCAACAACAAATTGTGTGGAAAATTGTAAAATTTTTTGTGATTTCAAAATTATGCATTTTTGAATATTTCAATATCTACATTAATGGCTTAAATATGGCGCTGCAAATATTTATGAGAATATTAATCACAAATATGTATGTATATATGTGTGCGATGTGCCGGCGTAGTGGAAGGTTGGTTTTTAACATTAACATTGTAGGAAATTTAACATCTTTTTTGAGTTGATTTTTACGTGATTATATATATATAATTCTCGCTTTGTTACCGCTCAAGCGATTTTCGGCCGAGCTCCTCCTACAATATGTGCATCTTGCTGTCTCTTTCAACTAACAGAGGGGCCTTCAGTTTATAGTAAGCTACCTCCGAACGGCTGAGGGTTTTTTTATGAGCAGCTTTTGATTTTCATGTCAGAAATACACTCGGAGCGTTTGACATTCACTGCCGAGGGGTGACCTCAGTCAGAAAATTTAGCTTAATTTTTTTATTTAAACTAATTTTTTATAATTTTTAAACGTTGGTCGCACGGGAATTTGAACCAGAGCATTCCGAACGGCAGCACGCAATGCTAACCATTAGACTACCGCGGCCGCCACGCAATTAACTGTTCTAAAATCGACAAAGAGGTGGTGTGTGTCGAGCCTCTTTTCACAGATATCTTCCAAGATTTGTCGCTCGGTGAATCTCTGGTTAATTGTAAATTTTTCTGCTTTAACGTCCCCACTGTTACGGTTCATTCAGTTTTTCGAGGGTGGCCTTTAATATTTCACACATCCACTCGGCTCTTTTATGTGAATTGAGAAGGCTTATCACACAGTTATTGACCCAGACTGTGGGGTCTACCTATTTGTGGATTCGGCAGAGCACGCTTAGACCGATGCATGTAAGCATCTTAACAGTTCTTCGCCGCCGGTAATCAATCCAACCGCCTCCTTTGTCTTTTTTTAATCATGCCGTGACAGTCGACGTATTACGAACGGCCAGCTAGTGACAACGCGGGTCGGTAGAAAACTTTTCTGTCCATACTGTGGTTAATCGAACTAAAGCATTAGAAATAATATCAGCTCCTGACAGCTCTTTCTACCTCTCCAAATCTACCATAAAGCGCTAAATTGAAGACTTGCTAGCAGTAGAGGTTATACATATTTTCTAAACCATCAACAACGGCCGACTCAATCGAAAGCTTAGAAAAAAGTGCATAAAAACCAAAAGTTCTGTTTAATAGGTACAACCAATTTAAAACCAAATAATCTCTTCTTTAACCGCATCACTTTGATGAAGAGTAAGTTTAAGCTCTTGAAGAAGACTAAATTTAGAGACCGAATGGTCCGTACACAAATCCCCTCCTTCGAAATTTCCATTGCGTATCGGGCCTACAGTACAAAAGTCCGCTGATACTTACCTCAGATTTTTCATGCTTTAAGGATTCATGGTAATACAAGTGTTTACTGGTGTTCTTACACCGACCCACCAGATTACCAACCCTTCCATTCTCTTAGCACTAAAGGACTACTCCATGTTGTATTTCAATGGCTGTTCAAAATTAAGAAAACCCTCTTCGTGCAACTTATAAATTCATAATGGTCGGAGCAGTTGAGAAAAATTAGTGATGTGGCGAATAAAACACGTGAACGACTCATTCTCTAGTCCAAAGTGTTAATGAAAACCTAGGATTCCTCGTCGTTCTTTGGAATTGCGTATTCCACAAACCTCATTACACCTTATTTAGCATAAAGACTTCGGTTTTAATGCTTACAAAACTCAGCATAGGAACTCAATCGAGTCGATCGTCAACAACGTCGTGTCTTTGCTGATCCTGGTCCTTGAAACGTAAGAAAATGATCTTGAATTTCAATGAAAAATTACCTTCACAGGTCGCAGCTGGGGCTCGTAAAACCCAAGATTTATTATTGAAAAGCTTCTCCATCCTCGACGTGCAACTGTTTGGGGCGGCTTATGGTTCGGTCGTTTTATCTCTCGAAAAGGTGATTGAAAGACCTCAAACATGAAATTTGTGAAGCTATTGAGGGCATACAGGCGCTCCTTTCCTGTTTGGTGATGGAAAATCTCATAAAAAGGATACGGTCTCGTAAGCGTAGCCGTGGCGCCCATTGGCCCGGTATTGTCTTCCGTTATTAATGGCATATCTTTGTTTTTCATTGAGATAAACATCCGTTAGTTTATCTCAAAAAAATTCCATTTCTATTTTTTCTTATTGGAAAACCCTGTACATATATGTAATGCACAATAATTCTCTTAAATCGTGTGGCCAGTCAGCCACATAGTGTTAGATAATTTCATGCAGCCGACTGTGTGTGTATGTCCACGACATTGAAGGTCACCCGAGTCTTTTGTAAATTATAAACTTAATGCGATTATGCAAATTTCGTATAAAATGTGCCAACATTCTGAACACTGAGAATACTAACAAAACGTACAGAGTTGGCGGAATGATGGACAAGTTCGCTTGTCAGTGGCTTTTATAGTCGATTGTGCTCCAGAGTGACATTTGAAGGATAGCAAAGATATTTAATATAGAATTTAAAAATTTTGCCAAAATATTTGGCAAACAAAATTAGGGATTTAATAAGAATTTATAACTTTCAATCATAATATTTATGTTTTCAAACTATTTTTAACTGTGGGAAATTAATAAAAAAATTTTTTTCATTTAATTAATATAAGAAATCTACTTTCTATATTCATACTTAAAATAATACTATGAGAATTTTCACCAATTCAACCATTTCGAGCTATGCTGCGCCTAAAACTATGCTGCAGAAACTCATTTTTAAACTCTCAAAGCACTTTCTATATGCAAAGTCAAGCAGAGTTTTTCGTGCAACACATCTCACAATAGGGATCTTCGCCGGAATCGGGTTCTCTTTTTATATTTGCGGTATAAGAAGTTTCTAGGGGTTGGTTAGGCATATTAAGATCTTGAGGTATTCACTCATGATTAGTAGAGCTTTAGGCAATTAGTCTTTGGACTATCGTCAACCATGCAACGAAATCAGAAGGAAATTGTGAAAAATAAAAAAATTTTATACATAAGAGTATATTGCCGTTATAAAGCGCCTTACCATACAAGGATAAACAGTTGCAACCAAATTGAATGAGATCTCATTAAATTACGGCGACTCTTGTCCAGAAAAAAACCATCATGTGTAAGCAGTACTTTTTATTTAAACAAGGGCAAGGAAACGAGTCCCTTGAAGACAACTCGAAGCCGATCAGGAGCACAGAGAAAAAATCACGCCGGAGCTAGCAAATGTTGAATAAATTGCCCTCGATGATACTCAAGTATAGAAGAAATAACTCGCAGAATTAGTTGGGTTAACCGATACAAGCATTTTCGAACTCCTGCACGATCATCTTGGCATAGCTAAGGTCAGCGCAAGATGAGCGGCGAGAATGCCTACGCCTTCTCAAAACCAATAGCGTTTAGAGTGTTCGTGTGCATTTTTTAACCGCCGTAATGCAGACCAGGATTGTGAAACTGAGTTGAATCGTTACTATAGACAAAGCATGAGATCATCATTACGAAGCTAAGTCGAAAGAAGGCTACAGCAGTATATAAAAAGGCCACAGCTCTTCCCAAGAAGAATCAGTCAGCTGGTATGCTCATAGCAATGGTCTATAGGAATCGGAGCGAATATAATTGATGGATTAAAAATATAAAGATTTTCCTATTACTGAAAAATTCCACACTTCAAGATTAGCGCGACTAAAAAAAGTCATTATAACGAAAAGACTTTTACACGGCAACTCGCCCGTCCACAAGAGCCACGTCGCCCTATCTGATCTTCATAAGGGGCACTTCGATATTCGAATCACCAACTTTATAGTCCAGACCTGGCCCCGAGGAACTATTTTCTGAGAGCTGAGGTGAAGAAAATTCATCACCGATGAAGTTTTCATGTAACTCTTATCTCCCATTTAGCGAACATAAAAACGCTTTCTATTTGTTTGTTTTTTTTTTTCAAATGTCAGATGCTCAGTATCTTTTATAAACCACTAAAACTGCTTTTCAAAATGACATAGATTGATAGATATTTACCTCCATATCTTGAAAGGACACACATACATAGCATACCTGCCCATAACCCTTTCAAGCACAATCTTAATACATTCATTAACTCTTCTAATTTGCTTTCGTATTCTCATTCTTTCTCTTTATTTGCAGCTACCACAAAAGTAATTGACAGCCCAGCACAAGTGGATCTGAGAAGTGTTACGAGCCTTTAGTGCCGCTTTGGGCGCTTTCAGCATCACGACTACCAGCAGCAGCAGCGTAAGTTTGCAGAGGAGCTCCGTGTGTTTGCACAGATTCTGAACACCTTTGGTGCAATTGCTTTGGTCATCGCCACCGCTACCGCCACCACCGCTCGCTACCAGCTAAGCGGCTGGGCAATGCAAACATGGATCATGCGGTGAAAGCGACACGTGGCCGACCATGGAATACGCTGCGCTTCGAGAACGACGAACTGGAATGTCTCTATCAACGTTACACGCTCAAATTGCAGCGCTTCTCGGTGCTGGGCGTTGTCGCGTTGGTGGTGGTATTGTGCGGTGTCATGGCGGCGCTGTCTTTGGCCTACAATAATGCGCCCACATTTCATGTGAGTTAATATAAATGTAATAAGATATGATTAGTCTGTAGTTACTATAGTACTGAAGCCCAGCTCGTTGATGAAAAAGAGTGATTACGATAATAAACGCATAATTCTCTTGAGAACTCTTCGTGCCTACAGCGTAAACTTTGCTGCAGACTCTGAGTTCTACCAGATGGCTGTCTAAGGTTCTTCTCTGTGGCCTTCCTTGTTCCTTGAGCCTAAGCGTCGTCTGCAGCAGATAGAGTTTTGTCACCAACTGTATATTTAATTATTTTACACTTCTTCATATTCACTCTTACTAATTTGTACTCTCTTTGCCTTCCTTTACCTTCGTAGAACATATTCAACTCCGTCGTGTGCCTACTCTTTGCAATTATCCTAATTCTACTGCAATGCCGTGTCATCAAGGATCATCACTTGCCAATTCTCTGCTATGGCATATTACTCTTTGCCGCCACCATCTGTTTCGTTTCGATGCCAACACTGGGCAGTGTTTTCCCGGTGGACACAAAAGAGGTGAGCAAATGTATTAATTATGTAGATGAAAAAACGTATATTTCTTTCAAAAACTAAATAAATAAATAAGAAATTAAATAATTAAATAAATGAAAGACCATACAAAAAGGTAAAAATGGAAAAAATTATTAAAAACAAAATAAAATATGAAATAAATGAACTAAATAAAACAAAATAAAATAAAATAAAATAAAATAAAATAAAATAAATAAAATAAAATAATGCAAAATAAAATGAAATGAAATGCATCGAAATGAAATAAAATAAAATGAAGAAAGATAAAAAATAAGCTAAAATAAAAAATGACACAATATAATAAAATGAAATAAAATAATATGAAAAAAAAATAAAAAATTAGCTAAAATAAAAGGAAATGCCACAAAGTAAATTGTAACGAAATAAAATAATATAAAACGAAAAAAAGGGAAATAAAAAACTCTGTATGGTTTTACTTACCAATCCAAATTAAAAAATCAAAATTAAAAATAAATCAAGTACAGTGATGCTAGAAATAAAAAAATGAAATAAAACAAAATTAAATTACAATAATTTAAACAAAATGAAATAAATATATAATTAAATAAATCATATAATTAAAATTAAATATAGATTTATGAAATAAAATAAGATGAAAATATAATTTAATTAAATTCAAATAAAGTAATATACACATACAGAAAACAGGATAAAAATGAAATAAAAACAAAATATGAACTAAATTTATGTATATAAAATAAAAAAATTGATATTTATGGTATTAAAAAAGGTAAAATAAATTTAATTATTCTCATTTAAATAAATTAAAATATATAATAACATAAAGTTAAACAAAATGACATTAAAAAATCAACTCAACAGTAAAATACGTAAATAAAATAAAGTAAAATGAAACAAGATCTAACAAGAATTTAATTTAATTTATCATAAGATACTTTTACAAACCATAAAACTAAGAAATTATTTTAATCTTAATACCATTTCACCCCAAATATTTATATATAAATACGTATGTATCTACGCGGTTTTTTTCTATTATTATTTTTGATTATTTCTCTTCTTTTGTTATAACTTTTCAGAAAGAGTCTGAGGTAATAATAATTGATGACCTTTTACTTTAAAAGCTTTGGATATTTGATAGCTTTTTAAATACTATGCATACATACATATGTATACTAGGTATTCATTGATGCTGTAGAGTGCTTAGTTTGTATGTTGCAAAAGCATTTCATCGAAAATTCGAGTAAATAATAATTGTATTTCAATGATTGCATCATATATGTATAATCTCTCAAGAATTTCATTTATTCGAATAAAGAATTTTCCATACAAATTCTGTGCTCTTCATGGTTTTATCGTTGTTATTAACTTTCAAAAAATGTAGTTTGTTTTGTGTGAACATAAATCGATCATTAAACTGCATCTTCATATCCATATATTCATATGCTTATTTATGAAAATGGAAGGCTAAAGTTTTTTTTTTTTAAATGCGGAATTTTTAAAGGATTTTTTCAAATTTTTGGGGCTTAAAAGGGTTTACGAGAAGAGCTTTGGAAAAATTGTGATGTGTTGTAGTGCCATGGATTTTGGCCAAAGATTTTCAAAGATTTCGGTTAAAGACTAAATTAAAAGTTTCAATAGTATTTTTTAAGAAATTCTGTATTAGACGATTAAACTATATTCACGTTTTTTTAGCTATAACGAAAATATCTTTGTGAGCATTTAAGTGATTCACTTTCTTCGCCATATTGCTTTCCTTTCAATACGTTCAGTCTTCATTTTGTGGTGAATTCGAATGTCTCATTAGCTCATTGCTACATCAATTATCTGTTCAATAGTTCAGTCTGTCCGTTTCTTGGTCATTAGTAATCACTTTACTAACCTTTATACTTAAGTATATGTAAAAGCTTTCTAGTGTATATCATTTTATCACCATTTTCTTTTACCTTGCTTACTTTTCAGGTCATGGCTGAGGGTGTATGGCAAATTGTATTTGTTGTATTTTTGGCTTACGCTATGATGCCACTACAAATATGGGAAGCAGTTTGTTTTGGTATTATTTTGCCATCAGTGCATATTAGTTTAACGGTGTATAAAATTATAACGGACTCATTTCGTTATTTGGAATATAATCAGGTAAATGTTATATTAGGAGTTTATGTTACTTTATTTTATATGATTTTGACTTATTATATTTTATATAAATTTTTTAAATTGTTTTCTTTTCATTTTATTTTACTTTTTATTTATTTCATTTTGTTTTGCTTAATTTATTTTTTTATTTTATTTTTTTCTAATTTTTTTATCTTTTTTTTTTAATTTTATTGTATTTTTTTATTTCTCTCATTTTTTTTTAATTTTATTTATTTCTTTTCTTTATCATATTTTATTTATGAATTTTATTTAGTTTTATTTTATTTCATTTCATTTTACTTTGTTTTATTTTATTTCATTGATTATTGATTTCATTTTTTTGATTCCTTTTCTTTTATTTATGTTTATTATATTTTTATTAATTTTACTTTGTTGAATTTTATTTTATTTTTTATTTTTTAATTATTTTTTTTCTTCTTACTTTACTTATTTATTTTTTTCATTTCATTTTATTTATTTATTTTTTCGTTTTGTTTTATTTAATTATTTTTTCATTTTATTTTATTTATTTATTTTTTGTATATTATTTATTTTAATTTTTTATTTCTTTGTCTCATTTCATTTTTTTTATTTATTTCTTTTTATTATTTTTTTGCTTTGTCTTTTTTATTTATTAATTTTATTTGGTTTTATTTTACTTTATTTCATTTTATTTTATTTTATTTATTTTTTTTTTTATTTTATTTTATTTAATAATTTTTTCATTTTATTTTATTTATTTATTTTTTGTATATTATTTATTTTTATTTATTAATTTTATTTTATTTTATTTTACTGTATTTTGTTTTATTTTATTTTATTTTTTGTGTGCTTTTTTGCGCTATTTTATTTAATTTCATTTTATTTTATTTATATTTATATTTATTAATTTTTTATTCATTTTGCTTTGTTGTATTTTATTTTATTTTCTTTGTACTTTATATCATTTAGTGTTATGTTATTTTATTTGGCTTTATTTTATTTTATTTTTATACTTTATTTCTCCAAAAAAAAATAATAATATTTTAATTTTTTTATTTTAATTTATTTAATTTTAGTTTAATTCATTATAATTCAGTTTATTTTATTTGTTTCTTTTTATGTCTTTCATAAAAATTTAACTAACCTCCCCTCTTTCTCTCATGTTCCCAGCTTATCGCCAACATTGTAATGTTTATCGGCGTTAACGTTGCCGGTTTGGTCGTAAATATTATGATGGAACGTGCCCAACGACGTGCATTCCTAGATACACGCAACTGTATTGCCGCCCGCCTGGAAATTCAGGATGAAAATGAGAAACTGGAAAGACTTTTGTTGTCGGTTCTACCTCAGCATGTTGCGATGCAAATGAAAAATGATATACTCTCACCGGTTGCTGGACAATTTCACCGGATTTATATACAAAAACATGAGAATGTGAGGTGAGTAAATAAAAAGGTTTCAATAATTTTAAAAATATTAGAACTTTCCATGGTCATGAAACAAGTTGTTGAATATTTTGATTTTAGCATAAAATATTTCAATATCTTCTAGAAATGTGATTTTAAGAAAAGAAATTGGAAAAAAAAATTTCTAAAAATTCAAATGAATTTTTACGCTTATAAATATGTATCTCATTGTAAGGTTGACAGATAAATGGAACTCAAGAAAATAATGTAATCGCAAAGCAAGACACAAGGTGATGCCAAAAAAAAACTCAATTATGATAAAAATCAATGAGGAAATTTATCAATGCACTCACCTCATATGTCTTTTGCCAGAAATGCATTTTCAATATTTGTACGTCAATCAAAATTTGTTGGCTTGTACCCAAAAGGAAAACTTATAGTAGATATGTATGTATTGACACGTGCAATACATTTAGAAATCAACAAAATCGGCAGTTTCTTGTTTAAAAATTTTAATTCACAAAAATCTTGTTTGGCGAGAAAAATCAAATTAGTATTTAAACATCAAATAAATGGCATTCGTTTGACTTTGATATTTGACGGACTTCGACCAATGTTATACAAGATTTCTGCCTTTTGACATAAAACAGCTGTCCATATTGTGTTTTCGATGAGCAATTCTACTTCGACAATCAGCCATCAAATGCTGTTGATGGAAATTTCAAAAATATCACTCATTCCTTGTCATCGTTTGCTTGCTACCATGACGGGTTTATTTTCGTAAGCATTATCTCGGCCCTAAAATCGCTTCAGCGGTTAGTAAGCGCCACAAGCGATTGCGTCAAATGATGCTAGGATGAAGAATAAATAAAAGAATGAAAAATGGCTTAGTATGAAATATTTCTAGACATAAAATATGGCTTAACATTAAATATGTCTGCACATAAAAAATGGCTTGACATAAAATGTGTCCAAACGCAAAATGTTCGTTTTTTACCAATGTTGGCGAAACATAGAATATTTTTGGCTTAACACAAGATGATGGCATAACATAAAATAATACCATAAAATTTGACACAAAATGAAATATTCCAAGTTTGATTGTTTTTAAGGACACTGAGCATATAAACATGGTTAGCACAGCATAAAATCAAAACAAAAAATTTTTTCCAGCACGTCACATATGTATGTTTCTGCATATAAATAGATAAAATATTGCTTGACATAAAATTGTGTTAACTTTTTTTGAAAATTGCTGCATAACGTAAAACGAAATGTAGCATAAGTTAAAATGAAATCATAACCAGCATAACATTAACTATGGCGGAACATACAATTAAAATAAAACAAAAAAATAAACAAAACAAAAGTTTGCAGTACACATAATGTAGTTGTTTTGCAATTTATGACGAGATAAACAAACATAAAATATGGTATCACATAAAATACGGCATGACATAAAATATGTACAGCATATAATATGGCGAATTGATAAGAGATCATTCGGACGACTCGCTTTTGGGTTGCATTTGGGAGTGGGAAAAATAGTTCTTGATCGAAGAACACTAAATCCGAAGAACTTTAATTAATGGGGAGTAAGCTGAGCCACAAGTAGTAGTAGCTGAAATCAAAGTCGATTTTCGCCAAATAATTTAAATATTCTCTCTATTTCAGTATACTGTTTGCTGATATTGTCGGTTTTACGGTGTTATCCTCGCAATGCAGTGCACAGGAGTTAGTCAGGCTGTTAAATGAGCTATTCGGACGATTCGATCAATTGGCGCATGTAAGTGGAAGCTTGGAAGAGCTCATATAATTTTTATATTATCCCAACTTTCAAATATATATCACTTCTTGCAGGACAACCATTGTTTGCGCATTAAAATTCTGGGCGATTGTTATTATTGTGTTTCGGGCTTACCCGAACCGCGTAAAGATCATGCCAAATGTACCGTTGAAATGGGTCTGGATATGATCGATGCGATAGCGTAAGTTTATGGCTTGGAAATAAAACTTAGAATTCCGAATAATATTCTAATTTCTGCTATCCACTCACAGCACCGTTGTGGAGGCCACCGATGTGATATTGAATATGCGTGTTGGCATACATACGGGACGCGTACTTTGCGGTGTGCTCGGCTTACGTAAATGGCAGTTCGATGTCTGGTCCAACGATGTGACACTGGCCAATCATATGGAATCAGGCGGTGAACCTGGTCGTGTGCATGTCACACGTGCCACACTCGACGCCCTGTCGGGTGAATATGAGGTTGAGGCCGGGCATGGTGATCAACGTTCGTCATATCTGCGAGATCATGGCGTGGATACATATTTCATAGTACCACCACCACATAGGCGAAAGGTGAATAGAAATCTTGAAAACGTATGAGTGGTGGAGAGGAAAATTTCAAGAGAATAAATTATTAATTTATTATTTATTCAAAGGCAGCCACAGACTTATCACTTCAACTCACACATTTTCTTTTATTTAAACTTAATTTCCTTTGTTTGCAGCCATTAATGCTAAATACGCTTGGTGTACGCTCGGCCATTGGTAGTCGTCGCAAATTGTCATTTCGCAATGTCTCAAATGTTGTAATGCAATTATTGCATACGATTAAATTCTCGGAGCCCGTACCATTCTCCAACATTGCCACCGGCTCGTTTCCCTCGTCGGGGGGTAGCGGCACAGGGGCGCGCGGCAGCACAGCCGAAGGTGCCGGCGGTGATAAGAGCACGAGAAAGGTAAGTGAGAACACTTTCGGCTACTAAATTCAACTTGAAACCTTTATTTATTTTAAATCCTCCTGCTGTATAAATTTTTATTTGTTTTCTATGTATGTATGTATATAAGCTTCATTTTATTTACAAAAAAAAATGTAAATTCGTTATTATTTAAAATTAAACTAAAATTAATTGCTGAATTAATAGCGAAAAATAAAATTATTTTTATAAAATATTTATTATAAATTATAAAGATTGTTAAAAACATATTGACGCAGTATGCTCGGATTAAGTGCCCCCACTCGTTTAGCTTAAAAAAATAATTACTTATTTTTCTGCATGCAGTGCTGCCCCCTAACCGCTTCGCTTTTTTACCCTTTTGTTTATAAACATTTAAATTGGCTAACACTTGTACACAATGTTTTGTAAAAACTCACGCAATTAGTTAATACTTTAGTTCAAAATTGATCACCCTGTATGTCACACCTAACCCGAGAGTTTAGCACAGAATTTCCCGCTTTATAAAAAAAAAATACAGCTTATTTGAGCAAGTAAAGGGTGTTGCATATGAGATGAGTGCATTGTTGTTGTTGTTGCAACCGCAAAAATATTCCCAAAAATAGTTTGGGGATTGTTGCGGGAGTGATAGTCTTTGGCCGGATAAAAATCCAGGTCGTTCCTGTATAAAGACCCGACTGTCGCGGGAACTATTGGATTTTAGTCGCCTCTTACGAGAGGCATGCTTTGCCTTGATAGAGCAGGCAAGGTTGAGTTCTTCACCTCGAAATCTTTCCAACTGAGCTTCTTCTTCTTCGATTACCGCTTTTATGTAACCGGTTGCGTGATTATAGCCGAGTCCACAAGAGCCCGACAGTCTTTTCCTTTCTTCGCCATTCGGCGTCAAATTGCACGATCTCGGTGACCAATTCACATCACCAAGGCGAGAGATGAGTCGGCCGAGAGCTTTTCCTCGCAATAAAGCCATCTTCGCTTGTGTTGTGTGGCATGTGACTATATCTTGTTGTGGTTTTCAAAAAATTGAGGTCCAATTACACCTCCGGAACAAAGAGCGCGTCAAGCAGTTTTTTTTTTTATTCTTGGAACCCCAAGTGCGAAAATTTTGCTTATTATTACGTAGCCACAGAGTGAGAAATGTACCTTGCTACTGAAGAAAATTTTTTTCGAAAATTCGACGTCCACTGCTTGTAGTTCAAGTACCTAATCGACGTATGTATGGCGCCGTGGGATGTAGACGTATTTCTAAGTACAAAATGTATCATAATGTGTCGTAAGAAAATCCTAGTCTTTCAGAACATCGAGAAATTTACACATCTGGGTCCTCGGCGCAAGCCTTACAATATCCATAACTAATGCAGTATCTTTAAGATTTTTAAAAATTGTAAAAATCTTCTTTTAGAGCACGTAACCTGGTCATGTTTGAATCACCATTTTTGTAGTAGACTTTAACAATTTCAATGCGCTGGGCGGTTATTAAGCGTTCCGTTCTCAGACATGGCTGAATTTTGACTAAAGCGAAAAATGTTTGGTTTGACAGTTAAGTTTGCCAGATGTCAAAATACAACTCTGTACTTTGTAAATCGCAAAGTAATACCTTATATAATTTTGGAATATTTCCTTTCTACCCAGAACTCGCCAGCCAAGCAAACCGTCTTTTTCTCAAAAACACAATTTAACTAATTAAATGAACCCTTCCTTTCTTTAAGATGCAGAACATTTTGCGTGATTATCACCAATTCCTCAGCCCTCATAGTATGGGGCTGTCATCATTAGGGTGCTTCTCATTTTGACTTTAATTCTAACGTTTTTTTTCCTATTAAATCTATTTGTCTTTACAGTTGTAATATTCTTGGAATTTGGTTTCAATATATTTTTTTTATGAATAATCAATGCACTCTCTCAAAATGCACCACCCTGCTCTCAGAGTTAACATAGAAAAGTTTTTACTAAACTCCCACCACACGAAAATTTCCATTTTTATTGTTAGAGAAAAAGAGCAGCCTGTCGCTTTTTGTTGTTTATAATTTTTATGTGTATTTCAGTTTTAATTTTGTGTTTTCATTTTTATTTTCAGGATGCGGTAAGTGTGTTGCTCCTATTCGTAGCTCTCATTAGAAACGTAGTAGCTAACTCAAAAAAAAAAACAAAAAAAAAATGTGTTCTCCATTGCATTACTTGTAATTGGTATTGTAATGTGTTTTATATGCATTCTATTTTGTAAATGTGTATGTAGTTAAATGAAAGCAAAAACCGAAATGTATCTAACAAATTCATTAGAGTGGGTGCCGCAGTCTATTCGAAATTTTAAAATTAAAAAATATTTTTTTAGGTTTTATTCTTTATTTGCATTCTACTTATTGGTCTTATAAGTATTTGTTAAACAAAAAAAAAAAAAAAACAAAAAAAATTACTTAAATTATGGGAATGTGATATATGTATGTTTAAGTGTATGTGTGAAGGTGTGTTATTGTTGTTATAAAATTACTAAACTAAATTAACAATAATTTCCTAATAACTAAGCATTAGATACCGTTAAATTTGAAAAAAAAAATTACTTAGTTTAGTTTTAGATGTAGCGTATGTTTGTATGTTTGTTGTAAGTGTAGCTAAGAAATCTATTTATGTAATATTTTAATAGTAATTATATGATGTAGGAAATGCTATTCCATGCACTGGAAATTAAATTACTGTATGTCAACCGTCTGTAACCTCTTCAAGAAAGAAAGTTTCAAACACTACATTTGTTTCAAGCTCTTTTTCTTATCAGTTGGGCAACTCGGCAAGTGAAGCCTCCTTTTCGCCGTTTGCCGGCTGAGCTCCTTCTCCAATTCATGGTGTGCGTCTTGTTGTTCTCTAATAAATGGAAGGACCTACAGTTTAGCTTATACGAAGTCTCCTCTATGATGGTGTTTTAAGGGGAGCCTTTCTTTCCTGTCTGAAATACACTCGGGGGACTTGATATTCCCTGCGTAGAGGCGGCCGCAATTCGAAAATTTAATTTAATTTTTTATTTAAAATAATTTTCTTTAAATTTGCAATGCTGGTCGAACCAAAGTTCGAACCCTGGCCTTCCGAGGGGCAGTACGCCTTTATATAATATAGCTTTAAATATCTCCGTGAGAACACCATCAAACGCTTGGGGGCGTTTAACAAAATTCTTCCTGATTTTCTACTAAAGACTTTCTGAAAATGGGCCTCGAACAGCGCGTAGTGAAGCTTTTAGACAACAAGCCGCCTTCTATTAAGTCACCTCTTTTAAAGAGCGCTGACTCTCTAGCGACGTCAAATATCTCGGTATAATCTTGGATTACAAAATCAACTAGAACCGGTATACATCATATAGGCGGAGAAAGTTTATAACGCTTTCAAAGCGGCGATACGAAATAGATGGGGTCTAAAACTAAATTGAAGAGAAAAATAGAGAAAATCAAGGGACGACAGTCAGCAGCGCCCTTAGCTCTCTTTTCCATGGTATCAGCGGAACCGCTGTACTATCTGCTATGCAGAGCTCGATGAGCTCAGGTTGTTCCGTGAGAGCCAAGTAATACTATTGCACCCTTAAAATCTTGTTTCCCCTTTGGTCTGAACCCGTTGAAACAACTCGGTTACTAAGACGCCCGATTGTGGATATCGCTGAAATCTAACATTGCCTTCTTCTAAGCGAGATTCCCTAAAACAACAACAACAATATTTTCTGATGGAAATTTAAAAAAAAAATAGCAATGGCTTCTATCGAACAATATATTCGAAGAAAATGTCTTTATTTCTTACGCAAAACCTTTCTATCGAAAACTCCAAATGGTGTCTCAGCAGATGTCGACTTCGCCCAAGCCTCCACACCTTATAGCAGGACGGCAATAATGAGCGACTTGTAAACTTTGGTATTCGTTCGTCAAGTTCCAAGCAACACCTGATTTGATTTCAAAGCTGACATTATTTATATGTTAAATCTGGTTCCAAGAGAGACTTCGAAGTTGTGACTGTCAACATGAGAGCCAGACGAGCATACGACGATGGCTGCTTGTTTGATGACAGAAGATATTTCGTCTTGCTCTCGTTCAATACCAGACTCATGCACTCCGCTTACTTATCCAGTTTGGAGAAAGTGTGGTTGTGGTCTCAATATATTCGGCGTACGCCAGTACCCTCTTACCAATTCAGGTCTGCAGCTCGTATTATTTTCTCCAAATTATAGAAAATTACTTAAAATCGAATTTGTTGTGGTCATCAAACGTATCAAAACCTGGGCCAGGCAGCTCTTCTTTCTTGTATCAGGTGTACAACTTTGCGTCCGCCGTTTTCCGATAGGTGGCTGTACCGGCTGAGGCTAGTTGAAATACATAGATGATAATGCCTTCAGTGAGTGTGAGTGACAGTGCCTAACGAATTGTCATCGCCGTTTCAGTGACAGTTATTCTTGTTTTCGTATTATTTACGCTCGAAAATATCCGTTTATGTGCCTAATTCTCGCCATTTGCGGGAAGTTTTACTTTTCTGTTACAATTCGAAAAAAATGCAGCTGAAGCGCATCGAATGCTCTCAGAAACTTACGGTGATGCTGCTCTGAGTGAAAGAACGTGTCGGGTGAGGTTTCAACGCTTTAAAAATGAAGACAAACATGGTTATGATTTGTATTTGGTGGGATCAGCTCGGTGTGATTTACTACGAGCTCTTAAAACCGGGTGAAACCATCACAGGAGATCGCTACCGAACGCAACTGATACGCCTTAGTCGCGCGCTAAAAGAAAAGTGGCCACAATATCAAGAGCGACATGACAAAGTCATCCTCCAACACGACAATGCTCGGCCTCACGTCGCAAAAGTGGTCAAAAAGTACCTGGAAACGCTGAAATGGGAAGTCTTGCCCCACCCGCCGTATTCCCCAGATGTCGCCACCTCTGACTTGGCACACGGCCTGGTATATCATCATTTTCAATCTTTCGAAGAATTGGAAAAATGGATTTCTTCATGGATAGCGTCAAAAGAGGACTCCTTTTCTCGAGCCGCGATCCGAAAATTGCCGGAAAGATGGGAGAAAGTTATCGCTAGCGAAGGACAATACTTTGAATAATATATCTGTATGCATTTTTTCGCAATAAAGCTTTTAATTTTGGAAAAAAACGGCGGAAGCAAAGTTGTACACCTGGTAAAATATAATTTACGGTATTGCAAGCAGTTAGTGGTAATTTACAGACTTAATAGTCGTAGTTATTAATATTATTATTACTCAAAGTGAAAAAAAATTAAAATAAAATCGTTCTTTTCTGCAAATTTTTATTTTTAGATAAATAAATTTTTGAAAAAAATATAAGTGTAAAATTAAAAAAAATCTTTATTGTACGCAGAAATATTTGTATATATATATGCATATGTATAAAAGTATATAAATATTATTATTATTATTATTATTATTATTATTATTATTATTATTATTATTATCCTTCTCCTATTTTTTTTTTTCTTATACTTCTTCAATATTCAATATTTTCCATCACTTTCGTTCCGTTTTAAACATACATATATATATTCATGTATATATGTATGTTTTTCTATGTATGTATGTATATATATTTTCCTTACGTTCTTTTCTTTATATTATTGCATTTCTTTATTTTCCTCTAGGTTATACGACTGCAAAAAATTTTACACGCCCCCACACCACCCGGTGGCGGTGTTACCATATCAGTAGGAACTACTCCTAACTCCACATCGAATACGATTAGTCGCATTCACAGACTCAATCAGAATAAGAATAAAGTGAGAATGAAATACCTAGTAAATTTGTACGCAATATTTGCACACTGACGTTCAACGTTCGTTCGTTTGCTCATTGTGTTTCCATTATCTATATTAAAAACAAAAAAAAAAAAAACAAAAAAAAACCAAAAAAATAACGTTACGTAACTACTCGTATATTCATGAAAACCTCATACTCGTGTACCATTAGACAGCAATGATATTTATAGAAAAAGAAAGAAAGAAAAATACAAAAAGAAATAGAAAATGAAAAAGAAAAAGAAAATGCATAAAAAGTGACAAACATAACGAGCTGTTACTGTTCGTTATATTCCGTTACCTTTCACTGCGTTTTACGTTTTACCTTTTACCTTTTCGCTGCATTTTACCAATAAAGAAAAACAAACCGTTCTTACGTTACGTTGCGTTCCGTTAATTTTGCATACAATTGCGTTGAGCATCATATTATAAACACATATACATACATATCTACCAAGAAGTTACGTTTAACTTATTTACGTTGAATTTATTATACTTTGTTTGCTAATTACCGTTATAATTCTTTTTTGATTCTCACTACTACTATTTTTTTTCTTCTAGTTGTTAATTGAACGAATTTCTTTACTATTTTAGCTTAGTAACGTTGCGTTTTAGCGTTTCGAATATTTAATTAGTTTTCCCGTTACTTTTAGTTAATAGTTTTTATATTGAAAAGAATCCAATTTAACCAAAAATTTGTAAAAAAAAAAAATTAAGAAAATAAAAAAAATAAAAAAATTAGAAAATAAAAAAATAATATAAAATAAAAACAAAATTAAATAAATAAATTATATGTAAATAAACAGCTAACCTTTTACTAAAAAAAAATATTTGTTGTTAAAATTTTCAAACCAAATTTTTACTGTTATTTTATCATAGTTACCTCTCAGCGACTGCTTATTTCGTGCATGAAATTTCGACTTACATCGTTCAAATTGTCCTGTTTTTATAATATTTATTGTGCTTAAACCCATTGTTGACTGTATATTTTTTTAAATGCATACATACATATATTATATAATAATAATAAGACATAAAAAAATTTGAGCAATAACAAATTAAATGATTAAAGTCATCGAAACCACTAGAGATTAGTGGAACCTAAAAGAGGGAATACTTTAGGGTTATCCCTAGTAAATAGGTGTCAGTTGCGGTGAAGTTGCATTAGTCATGGTCTGTATTTACATATATACGAGGGTGATTTGAGAAGTCCAAGTGAGTGGCTTTTCGAAAGAAACATATTTTTTCGGCATAATAATTTCGGTTTTATTTCCCAACATAAGAAGGTTATATACCTATCTGTACATCCAGCGTTTTTCCAATTTTTGCGCTCCCTCCAAATAAATTGTTTTTTAAGGTCTTCACAGGGGTTTGTTTCTGCGATGATCTCTTCACGTGTGTCCTGATAAAATCCTGGCTTCTACTTTAAATCAATATCGAATCTGTGCAAAAGTTCTGAATAATTTTTAACGTTATCGATCGAGGTGAATGACACCTCGTGTATCCAAAAAATGAACTATGATCATAACCTCGTTGATCTTCTTTGGAGCACGTTCACCAGAAGAAACCAACAATTTTGATTTTTGTTTGGTCTCTGGTATAGTGGATCCATATTGTGTCTACGATTGCGGTTCAATATTGCCAAACATTCATTCAAAGTGGTTAAGCGGTTGCCCTTAGGCTCGTGTGTGAGCAATCGCGGTATTATTGACGCTTTGTAATCGGTCAAGCTCCTCCTCCAATTTGTGGTTTCGCGTCCTGATGTTTTTCCAGCAATGGCGGATCCTATAGTTTATACTAAGCCGCCTCCGAACGGCTCATGGCTTTTTATGAGCAACTTTTGATTTGTATGTTAGAAATGGACTCGGAGGGGTTGGCATTCCATGCCGAGGGGCGACCGCTATTAGAATAATCAACTTAATCTTTTATTTAAATTAATTTTCTATAACTTTTGATGTTGTTCCTACCAAGATTTTACCCCGAACCTTCCGAATGGCAGCATGCAATGCTAACCACTTGACTACCGCATGTAAAATGTGATTTACACGCTCAGTTGGGAGGCCTACAGCTCCAGCCATATCACATATTTTTAGACTCCGATCGTTTAAGGCGTTATTCATTTCGGACTTTTCTACATACGACTTCCCACAAAAAATGGTACAGCGATGTTAAATCGCGACGTCAGACCCCACGACACGAAGTCATACGTTCAGGAATAAGTTGATTGTTTCGTTAGTTGTCTGGCATGTAGATCAGTTACCATGGCTCTATAGCATTCCAGGTTGACTATAACTTTATGGCCAGCTTATTCATTTTGGAAGAAATATGCAATAATGCCCACTGTTCATTTAGCAAACACAGCGGTGACTTTGAGAGATTAAAACGACGTCTCAACAATAACTCGTGGATCTCTTCAAATACGACAATTTTGCTAATTGATCCACCAAAAGTGAGCTTCATCGCAGAACAAAATGTTCTTGTGAAAATCGGAATCAGTTGCTGTATCGTTTTGGGCGCATTCACCGAACATGAGACATGAGGCTTGATGGATGAATTTTTGCATGACTTAGATTTTGTAAGATCGCATGCCAATATCCTTCCGCAAAATATTCCACAAAGTGAATGAGCTCCAGTTGTTGCAGGCTGGCAGATGGACTCATTCGGGTCTTCTTCGACACTCCACAGCACAGTAGCAATAGCGTTTTCGGTGCGCAATACCCGGCGTCTCTGAGGATGTGGATTATCCACTAGATTAAATGTGTAAACGTGGTGCGGAACCAATTCATGGTTGCCTGAATTACCGACTGTGCTGGCCGATTAAATTTACTCGATTTGCAAACGTTTTTCCGGCGTAAGTCTGTTCAGACGAACCATTCAGAAAAATGCTTATTCACACTCAACTTGAACGTACACGAATAGATTGTGCCCCGCAACGGCAATCTAAAAACAAAAACGAAGCGAAAATACCAACGCACAATCTATGAGATGATCATCCGTCGGTGATCCATTTTGCATAAAGAGAGTATAATTTATGTTTCGAGCAATTCGAGCTTGGTTACAGATCTCTGGTCCATTTGCAGGAAGCAAAGGTATTATATTTTATCATATTATTCAAAAATCTAACTAAAGCCAATCTAGTTTTTTCAATTAGATCGATCCATTTGCCCATAAAAGATAATTTTAAAATAAAAGAACTATAAATGTGATTTTATTGAAATATGGTCAACATCACGGTTAGAAGAGTAGTCATCCTGCTAATCTAAGCAAAAACCCACCTACATACATACATATGTACCGTGTTTCGAGTGAATGTAACCAATAATAATATTTGTGGTTATTTGTTCGTATAGCTCGCTCCCTGGTCCACTACCACTTCGTACAAACTTTTTCAGAACCACCGATTGTAACAAAGTGACAAATTTTCAGTATAATCTGCCAATTAGTTTCGGAGATCACAGATAAGAAACCTACCAACAACCCTTTTTATATATGTATCGAAGCAGGAGCTATTGGCGATACCAAAAAACGCCTTTCAGAAATGTTTCGCAGATTGGAAAAACGCTGGCATAAGTTTATTATATCTGAAGGGGATTATTTTGAATATTTTTCTGATCACACCTCGTACATATAAATATTTATAGATTAAACATGTGCGACTAATCATTTAATCGAGGGTGTATGCATTTATTCGTGCGGTTTTCTAAGAGCGGGCTCTACTAATATTATTTCGCGTCTTGTTCATCTGTGGCTGCATTCATTTCAAAGGTACTGTCATTTCATGCACTTGAAAATGTCGAAATTTGTACCAGATAAAGTGTTTTTGCGGGGAATTCTTCTTCATTACTTTAACATGAAGAAAACCTTTGGTCGAACGAACGTGCCAAAAGTGGTTAGCACGGTTTAAAACTGGCTATTACGACTTAGATGACGGAGAACGACCCGGACAGCCAAATAAATTTCAAGACGAAGAATTGGAGACATTGCTCAACGCAGATGCATGCCAGACGCAAGAAGAACTTGCAAAAGTATTAGGAGTTGATCAAGCAACCGTTTCCAGACAATTAAAATCATTAGGATTCATCCAGAAACTTGGAAATTGGGTGCCTTATGAATTAAAGCCAAGAGACGTCGAACGTCGATTCTCCATGTCGGAAATGTTGCTTCAACGCCACCAAAATAAGTCATTTTGGCATCGGATTGTCATTGGCGATGAAAAATGGTTTCATTATGATAATCCAAAGCGCAAGAGATCGTATTTGAAGCCCGGCCAACCATCCACATCCACGGCAAAGCCGAATATTCATGGTGCCAAGGTTATGCTATGTCTTTGGTGGGCCCACCACGGTGTGCTCTATTATGAGCTATTGAAATCGGGTCGGACGATCAATAGAGACTTCTACCGAAAACAATTGATTCGTTTGAAAAAGGCCATCGCGGAAAAACGACCAGAATATGCGGCCAGACACGCATGAATAATTTTTCATCATGACAACGCTCGGCCACACGTTGCAAGGCCAGTTAAAAACTATTTAGAAAACTGTGGTTGGGAAGCTCTAACTCACCCGCCTTATAGCCCAAACATAGCACCTTCGGATTACCACTTCTTCAGATCAATGCAGAATGCCCTCACCGGAGTGCGCTTCACTTCAGAACAGCGTATCAGAAATTGGCTCGATTTTTTCTTGACGTCCAAGCCGGCAAAGTTCTTTAGGGTTGGGATCCACAAACTGCCAGAAAGATGAGCAAACATCGTAGCTTCCGATGTAAATGTATAACAATTTTTTCACAATAAAGTCTTAATTTTCGAAAAAAAAACCGCACGAATGCATAATGCCTACACCCATAGTTAGTGAATTAAATATATTTATTTATTTTTTTTTTTTTAATTCTGTCGTCTAACGAAGCCATTCAATTTAGAACCTAATCACTTAAATTAATTAATAATTTTATTATGATGTATGTATATATGCATTTATTTATGTGTCTTGGGTTTGGTTCTCATGCTGTATTTTTGTTATTTTGAAAATATCACCTCGGGGCTGAGTTCCTTAAAAGTTCGAGGAATTTAAATATTTTCCCCTCACTTTACAACTTTTACAGAACTTCAGGCCACAATCGAAATGGATTTACTTCTAAGCCTAACCATATTTCATATTTACATACAAATATATTATATATGTACACTCAAAAAATATATGTATACAAATTTATATTTAATTACTTTGATTACTGTATTTATGTAATTTGTACTGCGAAATGCCACTAATTTCAATTGTTTTTTTTTTCTTCCATGTGTCTTGCCATGTGTGGTGCTCTCTTTTTTCTCTCTTTATCTCTTTTTCGCTCTCGTTGGCACACAAATACACACACACACACCTACCTCTCGTTGTTGGCATACCCATTTTGTACCGCCTACTGTGTACCGTATCGTACGTGCAACAACACAAATTGTTATATGTGAAAACAAAAACAAAAACAAATACCTTCAAACAACCAAAAAAAAATCTATACACAAAATCAATATGTGTATTTTTTAATTCAACAAAACAAAAATAAATCCTGCATCCCATCGCATCACATAACCTCAAAACCAAAACCCAAAATCACATTTACATACATACATACCTGATATATCAAAAAAAAAAAAACAAAAAAAAAAGCAGTCGTCTAAAGTGACGGACAAATTTAAGCGTCCCTTCCGCAAACGGCACTCCTCCATGCACTATCAACCGACCAATCGCGTCAATCGCTTCCTCTCGCAGGCGATCAATGCACGTTCCGTCGATTGCGATAAATCCGAGCATGTGGATCGGATTACACTGCGTTTTCGCGAGAGTGACAAGGAGCGTGAATATCGTAAGGATTTCGATTTGGGTTTCACCACCGCCATGGGTTGCTCACTACTACTGCTAATATTGGGTGCCGCACTACAGGTGTCAGCTCTGCCACGTACACTCATCCTCTTGCTACTCTTCCTAACCGCTTTCGTGTGGATTAGCGCCATATTGATGTTACTGTTGGCGGTGCGTCTCAAATGGATCGTGTGGGATTTGGCGCGCAGCTTCACACTACGCTTGGCTATTACAATATTCACCATAGTCTTGATCTATTCGGTGGGTCAGGTGAATGTGGTAAGTGATCGCAGACGTTGGCGGGAGCTCGAAAAAAAAACATTTGTAATCAATTTATATTTCATTATGTGAATTGATACCATCTTTGCCTTCAGTTCACCTGCGTCATGGATCATCCCTGTGCGAGTAATGTTACAACACATGCACCTTCCCTGGAGGAGGATCTACTCATGTTGGCGCATCACAGTGAAGCGCATCGGAAATGCTCGTTACCCCAGTATGTGTCGCTCTCGGCGACCTTTGCATTTCTATCAGTTTCAGTATTTCTACGGTGAGTTCCAATAGAAATACATACGAATATTTTCGAGTACATACACACATACATATGTAAATCCTGTAATATTTTTGTCAAAACTTATTTATAATTTCTCTCCTCTCCAGTTTACCAATAATCTTTAAATCGCTACTAATCCTACTGATGGGCACAATTTATGGACTTTTTATTGAAATGTCGCATATAAATATTTTTGATTGCTATGACAACAGAGTTAAGTAAGTATAAGATTCTAAGTTTCTTTAACAGGTTCAGATCTTCTTGAAAAAAAATTTAAAAGAGCTCCATCTGTGTTCCATTTATGATATTTTCCAAGAAACTACTATATGATAGGCACACAGAGAGACTGGACATATAACAAAACACTTGTGGAGGAGTTGTAGAGAAGAGGAAAAACCTCAGACCATAATGCACTTCGGAGGGCAAGGTTGAAGTCACTAGTGGTGGCAACCTTTGCAGACTTGCGCGAAGGAGCAATTGCTCCGTTTTGCTAACACCACATATTGGTTTGACCAACGGGTGGAGGTTAAATGGGTTACTTAGTCACAATGGGCCTGATTGGTATCCGCCTAAGTGTGTTGATGCCCGGCAGATAGGTTTCGGCCCAACCTAACCTATCTCCATAATGTTTTAACAATCTCAAGTGTATGCTCATCTAATAGCAAACCTACCCGTATAGTAGCTATGTGGAGCATATCTTCTGACTTATAAGTTGAGGCCGAGACATCACGAAAGTCGATTTTTCATCTCGCAACTGCTCCTTAAAAGACAACAAAGGAAGAGATTTTTACACTGCAACGTGACTGGAGATGAAAAGTGGAGACCCCTGTGGGTTAGGGGCTGAAGAATTTACCCGTGGTAAGGCATGCCTGTCGTAAGAGGCGACTAAAATCCAATAGTTCTCGCGACAGTCGGGTCTTTATACCGGAACGACCCGGACTTTTATCCGGCCAAGGACTGTCACTCCCGCAATAATAATTTGCGGTTAAAACAACAACAACAACATGAAAAGTGGATGTACTACGATAATCCCAAGAAGAAAAATTCCTAAGCCAAGCCTAGTGAACCCATTCCATCATCGTCTACCTTGACGGCATAGATAAACATCGACTATTGAAAGGGCATGCTCTGCATATGGTGGAAACAGATGGAACGGGGTACTATGTGCTGCTCAAATTAGGCGAAACCATTGATGCGAAACTTTATGGACTACAACTAATGCATTTGAGCCTCACATTGCGCGAAAGAACGACCGAAAGGCATGTCAGGGTGATTTTGCAATATGACAACGTTTGGCAAAAAATACCTAGAAACTCTGAAAAGAGAAATCTGACCCATTCGTCGTATTTTCCAGACGTTGCTCCATAACACTACTGGCTTTTCCGACGGACAGCCCGGATCTTTTAAAGAAAGCGGAAAATAGCTCAATGATTGAATCGAGAACAGATGAGCAGCCTTGGTAGCCGATTAGTAAGCAGTGCGTGCTGCCAATCGAAAGGCCACGGTTGGAGTCCTGTTTCGACCAATATCCAAACTATTGAAAATAAATTTTTCTAATAGCGATCGCCCCTCGGTAGGGAATGTGTTAAAATATTTTTTACATGAAATCAAAGCTTCTAACAAAAATCTATAAGGAGCTCGGAGGCAGCTTAGTATAAACCGTAGGTTCCTCCATTTGTTGGAAAAACATCAAGACTGGAGAAGCAGCTCGACCGAAAATCGACTTATAAATTACAAAGCGGCAGTTGTATATTCGAAAATCACTAGATTGATGGGAAAAATACGAGGTGTGTTCAAAAAGTACCGTACGTACGTATAATCGAATTTCGATTTTTTTGTGCCGTTATGTTGGTACTCATATCTGTCACTTATGCCGACAAGCTCGACCATTTTGAATGTTCACTTAATTGTTGACAGCTACTTTGCTTGCACGTGTTTTGGATGGTCTTCGATTTTTACCTTAAAAAAAATGGATCAAAGAACCTGTATCGAATTTTGTGTGAAAAACGAAATTAAGTGCGCGGATGCATTCCGAATGTTGATTGTGCCATACGGAGAAGCTACCTTGGACCGAAGCAACGTTTATAGGTGGTACAAAATGTTCTCAGAAGGCCGAGAAGATGTGAACGACAAAGAGCGTGCCGGACGCCCGAGCACTTCAACGAAAACGAAAAAATTAAATGCAGGGGCGTGGTGCATCATGAGTTCTTGCCACAGGGTAGAACGGTCAATAAGGAATATTACCTGCAAGTTATGCGCAATTTGCGCGAAGCATTCCGCCAGAAACGCCCGGATTTGTGGAAGAACAAAAATTGGCTTTTGCAACACGATAACGCCCCTGCTCACACATCGTTGCTTGTGCGCGACTTTTTGTACAAAAACAACACACTAATGATGCCGCAGCCAACGTATTCCCCAGATATAGCCCCCTGTGACTTTTTCTTGTTCCCTAAACTGAAGAGGCCCATGAAAGGACGACGTTACGCTACGATTGACGAGATAAATACGGCATCGAAGGAGGAGCTGAACAAGATAAAAAAATGATTTTTTTAAGTGCTTCGAAGATTGGAAAAACCGTTGATACAAGTTGATATTATACACAAAATAGATATTCATGAATAAATAAATTCGCGATATTTTTTGAACACACCTCGTAGTATCTTCGGACAGACAATACTTTGAATTATGTATTTTTTTTACTTATTTTCAATAAATTTTCATTAAAAGAGTCTCTTTGTTGAACACAAAAAAGGACTCAATTTGTACTTCCAATTAGAAAAATTAATCAAATCTTTTTTCATATTGATTTTATCTAAAAAAAAAAACCCTTGACCTAAATTCTGATGACTATTATTTTTATATATAATATGTTTTTCCTTTAATTTCTCTCACCTTCAATAAACATAGCTCATCCATTCCGCTCCATTTGATCTCATTGGCGCGCATAATAATTTTCATGATTGCAATATTAGTCCATGGACGTTTGGTTGAGTGGACAGCACGTTTGGACTTCCTCTGGCAATTGCAGGCATCGCAGGAGAAAAAGGAAATGGACGTTTTGCAGGAGTCCAATAAGCGGATCCTACACAATTTGTTGCCAGCTCATGTGGCTGCACATTTTCTCGATAATCAATTTCGTAGCAATATGGTAAATAATATGTTGATTGTTGCTTTAAAAATACCAACGCATTTTATGTATTTATTTATGTATTGTATATATGTATGTACCATATACGTATGTACATATTTAGAACACCAGCATGCTTATCAATCACCCACCAAAATATTTTTTGTTTTGAAAGACCAACAGAGAAACCCAACAATTATCGTTTCAGTAGCGCAAAGTCAGGCCGAGGTGCAACTTAACACACACACACACATATATATACACATAATCACAGGCACACCTGCGCATACATGTAGAAAAAAATCACTTTTTCTTAAAAACACATAACTCTTTAATTTCAAACTTCAAGCAAAAATGCAAGCAGAATTTCGAAACACTCACATATGTAAGAGTATATGTATACAAGTATGTACTTGTACAGTATATAAGATTTTTACTGCTGAATATATAATATTTACTTAAATATAATTCATATGTAATTTTTCACTTTTTGCCAATTTTTTTTTAATTTTATTTTTTTTTATCTTTGCGAGTGCAACGAGAAACATCGCCGCCATTTGTTTCGTATTTTTGTCGTTATGGCATATTTCTTTCTCTCTTTCTTTCTTTCTTTGTTTCTTTCCATTTTATTTTGGTTGCCAGTATCTAATGTTTCGTCGATTTTCGGCACTGTGTGTTGTTGTGTCGTTCTGCCCGATTGTCGCGTGATTTGCTTGCGACAGAGGGTATAAGTGTGTGTGTTGCCAGAATCCTCTTATCCCCTGATATTTTTTTTAATCATTCACATTTTTTTGCCGATTGTTGTTGGTTTCTTTCGTGGCTAAACAATATAGGTCACTCCCTCACAGGAACTCTATCATCAAAGCTATGCCAAGGTTGGTGTCATATTCGCATCGGTGCCGAACTTTCATGAATTCTACACGGAAATGGATGGTTCGGATCAAGGTTTGGAGTGTTTGCGCTTGTTAAATGAAATCATAGCCGATTTCGATGAGGTGAGTAAAACGTACATACATACAATATATGATTTAAATGGGGTAAAAAATGATATATATAAGGTTATATCTAATCTAGAAAAATGTCTGAGTTATAGACGAAAGATCGCTGATCGAACGAGGTAGATGGCAATAAATAGTAACAAATACATAGTTATAGCAGCTCTAGAGACTTTTTGAGAGAAGTTTCAGATTTAATGATATTCATTGTCTGAAGCTTGAACAGATTTTTTCAATTATAGTTAAAATATGCCTCAGTAAACTCATTATGTTTGTGGTCAGCGAAAAGTTTGTTAAGAATCTCTTTACTGTTAACTGTTTCCTTCGATCACCTTCATTAGTGAGACTTGCGATGTACATATAATGTCTAAAAATGCCACTATTATTGCATTAAATAGAAAGCTTTATTTATATATTGGTCGTTCGGTTTTTTATTGATTTTTCAAAATATGATAACTTTGTGTACATTTGTCCGATTTAAATCAATATTCCCCCGGTTTGTTGCCAACGAGATGCCAGCTTCATTATACCCCTCTCGTTGAAGGCTGCGTCCCTATTGGCAAATAAACTCGGAGAGCCAATTTTCACAGGCCTCTCTTGAGGCCAACTTCTCACCATTAAGCGCGTTCGCCATGGACAGGAAAAGATGGGTAATCACATGGTGCCAGCTCCGGACTATAAGGGGTGTGCATTAGGACCTCCCATAGGAGCTGCTGGAGTTTCTGGCGCATCACCAAAGACATGTGTGGTCTGGCGTTGTGCTGATGGAACACAATTCGGCCTCTGTCGATCAAAGATGTGTCTTCTGAATGAGTGCTGTTTTCAAGCGTTCCATTTGTTGGCAGTAGAGGGCAGCCAGTCGCAATCTGCTTCAGAAACGGGTAGGTTTTGTTGCGATTCAGCAGCGATTCGTCCTTGGTGCGCACTGTACGGCGACTTTGAGGGTGCACATTCTCTACTAGAGTAAATGCTTAACCGATCCATGGTTGCTCGAATTACCGACTCTACTGGGCGATTATAGTATTAAGAGAGTTTCTACAGATAATTATCTGCAATTTTTGTGTGAATAATTTAATGATAAAATTTACCATTGTTTTAAAAATCGCGTAAAACCAAATTTTGTGACTGTCTAGATTTAACTTATGCTGTTATTTGGAACCATCCTACTTAGTTTCAGCTGGGTGCGAATTATTGTCACTTCAGGACCATTTTTCTTTATTTGACTGAGTTTTTCTTAGTTATATTTCTTCAATACGAAAGATATTCAGCTTTGATTCCAATTAACATGCCTCATTTTGTCCATATCTTCAGCTACTCAAAGAGGATCGCTTTCATGGCATTGATAAAATCAAAACAGTTGGCAGCACGTACATGGCGGTTGTTGGTCTCATACCAGGTTTGTATTTCATAAGAATATTTATACGATATTCCTACAGCAATTATTTTAATTTCAATTAACTACTTTGATTTCTCTTCAGAATATCGCATCAATGCTAATGATCCGAACTCGGTGCGTCGCCACATGACGGCTTTGGTGGAGTATGTGAAGGCCATGAGATTGTCTCTGCAGGAAATCAACAGTCACTCCTACAATAATTTTATGCTACGTGTGGGTAAGTAAGAAAGGAATATAATTAATATTCTTATTAGGTGTAGTAAAAAGTTCGTTCGGTTTTTATCTAAGAGATGGCGTTATTGTCCATAGTACTAGTGTTACGTGTCGCATCATGTCATACTATTCGGCGCTGTAAACGTGTTTATTTGGGCTAAAAGTTTGTCTTTGACAGTTTTTTGATTGATTAAACTCAGTACGTTGTGAGCGCTCGTCAAAAATGGACGAACCAGCAAAGAGAAAATTCGCTTTATTTTACAATTTTACCTCGATCAAGGCGAAAAAGCAAACAAAGCGGCTGAAAAAATTAATTTTTTTAAGGGACCGATACTGTAAACGAAAGTGGTTTGCTAGGTTCCGTTTCGGTAATTTCGATTTCAAAGAATCACCTCGTGTCGGGAGGCCTGTCGTCTTAAATTGCGATAAAATCATGGAAATAGAGGAAACAGACCGTCACATGAGCACTTTTTAAATTACTGAGGAACTAAAGATAAGCCAGAAAACCGTTTGGAATCATTTGTATAACCTTGGATTCAAAAGAAGCTCGATGTTCGGGTGCCACCCAAATTAACGCAAAAAAACATGATTGACCGGATTTCCATCTGCGAATCGCGGCTGAATCGCAACATTATCGACCCGTTTCTTAAGCGGATTGTGTCTGGCGATGAAAAATGCGTCACTTACGACAACATCGAGCGCAAACGGTCGTGGTCAAAGCTCGGTGAAGCTGCCCAGATGGTGGCCAAGACTGGATTGATGACCAGGAAGATTTCGCTGCTGCTCTCCTATGGCCAAACCTTCAATTCGACCCTCTACTACCAACAAATGGACCGCTTGAAGGCGGCACTCATTCCTAACAGACTATCTTTGATCAACCGAGCCCGAATTGTGTTCCATCAGGACAACGCCAGGCCACACACGTCTTTGGTGACGCGCCAGAAGCTCCAGGAGCTCGGATGGGAGGTCCTAATGCACCCACTTTATAGTCCGGGTCTTACACCAACTGATTACCATCCTTTCCTGTCAATGGCTAATGCGCTTAATGGTGGGAAATTGGCCTCAAGAGGGCCTGTGAAAATTGGCTCTCCGAGTTCCTTGCCAATAGAGAAGCAGCCTTCTACGAGAGCCATCTCGTTGGCAATCGAACAAATGTAAACATAGTTGTCATATTTTGAAAAATTAATAAGAAAAAACCGTATGAACTTTTTACTAGACTTAATATGTACTTCAGTACAGAGCATATTGGATTTGTAACGGTACAAAATAATCGAGTTATTGTAGATGTGGAGATATATGTATATAGCAAGCTTGATGGAATGAAGAAGCGAATTGATTTGAACTTGTCTGTCAGTACGTCCGTCCATCCGTATACATGATAAGTCAAGTAAGGACTGAGATATTTTCATGAAACTTGATTCGCATATTCCCTGGGTTACAAGTGCGGATGCTATTGTGAATGAAATTGGACTAAATTACCCATCAAATGGTAATTTTGAAACCAGCGATAATTCAGTACCTAAATATATACAATTAAAATCATATTTGTTAGGGACGAATGCATTAAACTACTAGACAGAATTCTTTAAAATTTGACACTGCCATCGTCTATTATGAACGTAGCACCCAAGCTTAAGTGCAGAGCTTTATTGCATAACTACGGTAAGATAAAGAAAGTAACTATACACACGGGCAGCCAGGCAGTATTGTCGGACATGTCATCTCCAATTATAAATTCCAGCGACGTCAGAAATTGTGGGAGAGCTTGTAGCTCGCTAGAAGGCCATCTCGATCATAGCCAGTGTTTCCGGGCGTGGGAATATTTTCGACAATGAAAAACCTGTTGAGTTAGAGAAGTTGGGAGCTTCTCTTGACGAATCCGAGGTGAAGTATGGTATCAGAGTAGAAGTTAACATGCAATTTAAATCAAATGAAAATCCATATCTAACTCTAACACAGCTGTAAACTGGAGGTAAATACTCAAAAGGGAATAAAAGATTTGAGTGCTTTTTTTCTTCTTTATATATTTAATTGGCGCTTTGTAACCTCTGAAGCGATTTTTCGGCTGAACACCTCCTCCAGTTTGTGGTTTTGCGTCTTGATATTTTTCCAACAAATGGAGGGACCTACAGCTCAGTCTCCGAACGGCTGATAGTTTTCTTACGAGGAGCCTTTATTTCATGCCCGAAATACACTCGGCAGGGTAGACATTCCTTGCCGAAGGGCGACCGCAATTAAAAATTTTACTTAATTTTTTATTAAATTAATTACCATAACTTTTTGATGGATGTTGGTGCTACCGGGATATGAACTCGACCTTCCGAATGTCAGTACGCAATGCTAACCACTCGACTACCGCGGCCGCGGTCTTTATATAGACCCAAATTTTCAAATGGATTAAGATCGTGGCTCTAAGGTAGAGTAACGCTGACCTTGACACAGTTCTAAAGAAGCTTCAGCGTAAGTCCTCTATGTTTTTTGGATCAGAACAGACAAAATTTGAACGCCGAGTTTCCATGCACTTGACTTCAAACTAAGATCCAAATGTACAGCGCAACGTGTTCAGTATTTTCCATTCCTACTTCTTGGCTGGATATGCAGCCTCAAATTATTGCAGAGAGTTTTCCAAGTTTTACTGTTGGAACCATGATATAAAAATTTTATAAGGTCTGAAGTGAAACTCAAAATTTTCGACACTAAACGTTTGGAGATTTTGTAATTTTTGTTTTGGTTATTTTCTAAGCAGATGCTATAATATTGAATACACTTATGGATCTATTAAAATATTTGTTGCAAGCCGTTTTTCTTGGGCGGCAAGAGCGAGAAAAGGATTTGCTAGATAGATAAATAATATGGAAAGAAGTGCAATTTTTTATTTTTTTATCAAATCTTGGACTTTTAGAATTTCCCAACCTAATGCCAAAAGTCCGTGGTTTGGGGCTCTGGTCATAAGGACACCCAGGGAACTGCAAGATCGATGAGCTGATCGGATAGGGATAGTCATAACCCCATTTAACTCTGCGATCGCTTAGCATAGCCTGCATATCTAGGCATCATTATACCCCGGAACTTCGTACTATAAACTACACCAACTCGTTTGAGCATCTAGAAAGGTGAAAGAGATCAGGGTTGCGTTATCGAAAAAGCTGTTTAAGCATCATTTTAATTTCATCCCAAATTTTGACGGCATTCCAATATTCTATTGATCATGTTCAGAGTGGTTTTTTCCAAGCGTCTCTTGATGTTTACCGCAAAATGGCTTGGCGCACAGCCTCGTGCAACACATCTAAGTCACATTCTTTTCTAAGTCACCGCGGTACACACCTTTCCCAGTTGTTCTTTAACGACTCCCTCCACTCTTAGACTCGACTCGAGTCAGTTCTCTTTTACAGCTACATTTATTACGTTGTATATTGCTTTTAAAGAGACTGAAAACATCTCCATCAACTCGGCAATAGATTTGCCCAGCTGGTGAGTGTAGGAAGTCAGTTGGACTACTTCAAACTTTAATCTCGAATTTTCACAACCAAATTAAAAGAAATACAAAACATCTCTTCGAAAACGAGAACAAAACAAACGTACAAATAAATATTGACTTCGAAAATCAGAGAAATCGAAAACTATGCTCGTATCATATAGCCGAATCCATTGTGACTGTTCAATATCACTTCTTAGTGCGTTTTTATAATATTCTTTGTTTTTTTTCAGGCATTAACATTGGTCCGGTGGTTGCTGGTGTCATTGGAGCGCGAAAGCCGCAATACGATATCTGGGGTAATACCGTGAATGTGGCGAGTCGCATGGACTCCACAGGCATACCGGGTTATACACAGGTCACACAAGAGGTCGTAGACAGTCTACAGGGTTCACATTTCGAGTTTCGGTAAGAAAAATAAATATTTTCGAATTCTTTTATATTTTACACAACACTCATCACTCACCTACCCCCCCATAACAGCTGTCGCGGCACGATCAAAGTTAAAGGTAAAGGCGATATGGTCACCTACTTCCTCTGTGACTCCTCGAATAATGGACTTAACGGTGAGGTGCGCAATGCTATGATCGCCAATCGTGCGATTACACAAAATGGCAATGGTTATACGTCACAACAACAACAGCAGCAGCAACAACAACAACAACAACAACAACAACAACAAACGCAAGCCAACGGTTTGCATGCACATCCACCGGAATATTATCAAAAACAATCACAATTTCAAGAGAACAGTTATCAGTTGAATATGAATAGTGATACGTATAGTATAAAGAAGGAGAATTATGGTTACAACAACATTGACAGCAATCAGATATTGATGAAGACCTCACCGAATGCATTACATGAGGAGCAACAACAATTGCTAATGCATCAGCAGCAACAACAAGTGTCACAACCGCAGCCATATCAACATCATTTGGCGCAACAACAACAACAGCGTCTCAATAGTAAATTACAAAAACAACCGAATTTCATCGCCAACGGTGGTTTGCCAAATATACGCGAGAACGGTCATAACGGTGAGCACAATGGTGGAAACGGTGGAAATGAGAATGGCGTTGGTTACGCCTACAATGGCTATCACCCAGCACAACAACAGCAACAGCAGCAGCAGCAGCAGCAACATCAGCAATACAACAACAATTATGCACATCACCAACGATCACATTCATCCAGTTCGATGGGTGGCGGCGTCGGCGTTATGGGCGTAATTACAATGGCGGCAAATTCTTCCCCCGCCCTACCCACACAACAACAACAGCAACAACAACAACCAGCACAAATCACCCCCTCAATGGTAATGTTACGCGAACAATTTAATATAATTGAAAATCCTGGTGGTAATCGGCTTGAGTACATTAATCATGATCCCTACGCCCAGGTGGAGAGCTATAATAATTTATTTGCTAACGGTGTTGGTGTTGGTCTTGTTGGCCCTGGTGGTGTTGGTGGTGGTAGTAGGCGTGAACCGCATGCCGCACGCAATTACCATCATTTACATCACAATCAACAGCATTCATCGTCGTACAGCACGAACAGTAATTGTAATAATTATAATAATTGCCGTGAGAGTGAACCATTGTTGCATGCCGCACCAGTTGCCAAGGTGAGTGAATACGAGTATATATGGAATGAGGAGATACTCTTATGATCATCACTGCAGTCCCTCTCATCCACCGATGTTTAGTACTAACAATGCGTATTATCCTTGGTGGTGGTTGGTTGGGATTTGCTTTTGTTATTTACATGCATGTTTATGTCATACCCAAAACGCATTTGATTCAAATTTCGAATCAAATTAGGGATGTGCGGCGTGAGTTTACAGGCGGAGACCCAAAGTTTTGCATAAAAGAAAAACTCTCGAAAATTCTCAATGACGCAGTTCGACAACTTTTTTTGTGCCTCTAAGTAACCGAAGAGAGCAGATGCTCGCAAATCGACAGTCAGAGGTTCTGTGGACGCCTCCAAATGCTCTTCAATAAAAAATAAAGATTTTGTTTCATATATTTTCTATGTGAAAATTGTACTAATTATGAGCTGGTGCAAGACGAAATAAAACGCATATAATTTAATGCTATGGCCACGAATTAATCTTGCCTTTATGTTGTAAAAAAGATTTTGGGCAAATGACCGCCGCGGCTAGCTCGAATAAATACCAGCCGAGCGGCCCAATATACAGTAATATCGCGCCTCTCTCCCTTTCAAGGCGTTAATCGCTCCGGGCTTATCTGAGCACACCGAACAGTAACTCTTTGAGAATCTAACGACGCCTCAACAATTGATTATCAGTACGCCTTATGCGATAATTTTGATTATTAACGTCACTATTCAACCAAAAGAGAGCTACTTCGCTGAATAAAATTTTCTTGTAAAAATCCAGATCGGTGCCCATTACGTTTTGGGCTCATTCAACGAATATGTGACGCGCTTGATGGTCGCTTGGCTTCAATTATTGCACGAGCCGGATTTTGTAAGCCCACAAACCAAGAACCTATAGTAAAATCTTCCCTACAATGAAGCACAGCTCCAGTTGTTCCACGCTATGACGGATAAACTCATTTATGTTTTCATCATACTCTGCTCAATATGTATGCTTCGGTGTGCACTATATGGCGTCTCTGAGTATGAAAATTATCCGCTAACGTTAATGTGGTGCGAAATCGATCTATAGTTGTGCGAATTACAGAAGCACTGCGGATTCGAACCCTTATCAAACCAATATGCGAAAAGAAAACTGAATAGAATAGATTTTTTTTTTAAATTATTGTCGCCTCTCAGGAGCAGAACTCAAACTCTCGGATTCCCTAAGTGTGTTTCTGAGATGAAGTAAAAGCACCTCATAAATGTTCTACAGCCGTTCGGAAGCGACCTAAAGTTAAGTTATGTCAATTGGTCTAAAGGTATTAAGACACACACCAATAACTGGAGGAGGAGCTCGGCCGAAAAACGCTTCAGAGGTTACAATAATGTTGTCAGTTGTTCCTATGACCAAGATTTCGAGACTAGAGTGAACCAAAGTCTAAAATTATTGGTAAAAAGTAGTTAAGCAGTCACTCTTCTGTAGCAGCTGCAACACAAATCGTAAGAAAATTAGCGCGTCCTGTATTAATAAGTCCTCATCAGACACCGCCACAGTGACAGGAGCGTATCCGTTTTTTTTTTCAATTTTCCTGAAGTAAAGTTGGCCTGTTGGCCCAAAGGAAGCAGTCTCAAGTTGTTTAATCACAATAATTCGGCGGCTAACGGCGACGACCTCTTTGAGAGTTGAGACTGTGTGAACACTTTTTCCTTAAACAACCGATGGATTCGTTTCTTGTGTGGCACTTAGTGCCGTCTTGTTGAAAGTAAGCATTGTCTTGATCAATTCCATCCGATTCCGATCATAACAAATCATTAATCTGGATAGCGCAGTCAATTCGCCGTGACTGTTCCTCAAGCCGTAATAAGGTCCAATGACTATAAACCGCCGGACCATAAACCGTAAAAGATAGTTACACGTTGACCAGAATCTTTATGCAAAATAAAGGTTACAACGACGAGGAATGGTCAAACCTGTGTTTTATTCAACTCACTGTGCTGCAGCAGCAATATTCTCAGTTGTTCTTGAGCGACACATTCACATCACTAACTTCTTCCAACAGCTAAATTTTTTCACCAACTTCTTTATTACAGTTCGAAGAGGTGCTTCCCGACAACCCAAAAATGTTTTAGTTTTTCGAATTTTGGTGATTTCATTGCGATGTTGAAGCGTGTAGCGTTCCATTTTTATTACTGCCGTAGCCTTACTCTTCAAATGCCAAAAAATTACAGACAATTCAAAATAATTCAAAATAACAGCTCTTTCTGAAAAATCCTTTATATGTAAAACTCGCTCTTTGGAACCACTATAGCGTTTTTTAGCCGACCTCCTAATCCAATTTGTGTCGTGTCGTGCGTCGTGACATTTTTCCAACAAATGGAGGAACCTACGGTTTACACTAAGCTGCTTTCGAACGGCTGATGGCAGCCTGAGCAGATTTGATTTTATGTCAGAAATATACAAGAGGGCGACCAATTTTAGAGAAATTTACGAAATTTTTTTTTTTTTTAATTTAGTTTCTATAATTTCTCAATTTTGTCAGAACATAATTCGAACCAATGACTTTCCGCGTGGTAGTACACACTTCCACCCACCCACTGTAGCACTTCCGGAAGCTTCGCCATGAGTGAAAATTATGGGTCTTCCCTTCGACTATAACGTATTTTAAACTCAGCTGCGTCGTCCTTCTCTTGCCCCGCAAAACCTGTTTTTTTTTCTGTTCCCTGATTTCTTCATGTGGACTATTTTTCACAGATGAATGTTGCCATTTTATTCACTAATATTTTTTACTAACAAAAATAACCATTCTTATCTACCTATTTAAACGTATATATGTATATGTATATATCTGTATGTATATCCTGCGAGCTTTTTAATCCATTCATATCTAATGTGAGCCATTTAATTGTATTATCTCTTTGCATGTATTCGTAATCCACATTTGTACACACACACATAAAACCAAACACATACGCAAACTATAAAAATAAACAACAAATATCCTTCGTGTTTACTCGTAAATCATACATATATGTGTCAAACGACCGCTCTGTCGCTCTCCCGCTCGCCCCCTCGCCCCCTCGCTCGCCTGTCGCGCTCTCATCTCCTGAAATTCAAAACATCAAACACATGCATACATATATACAACAATTGTACACGGTTAACGGTTGACAAATATGGGTACATTTGGCTTATGACACTTTGACGTGTGTTGCACTAACAACAACAACAACAAAAACAACAACCAAAACAAACAACACAGATAATGCCAATGCAACATCATCCACAAGCATATCCACCTAAATATGAGCCACCACGGTATACGTGTCCTAATACCATAATGCTACAACAGCAACAGCAACAACAGCTGCAATTGCAACATCACCTCCATCATCATCAGCAGCAACAACAGCAACAGCTGCAATTGCATCAACAATATCCACTTTACTCGCAACATCCTCAACCGCCATTACCCATACCACCACCCAAGCCCACAAATCTAACTGCATCCTCATTAGCCACAGTCTCAGCCACAGTGTCAACCCCCGCCTCAGTCTCAGCCTCAGCATCAGCCTCAGCCACAGCATCATTGAAACAGAATACACCTATCTCACGCACTACCTATATGAAGCCCCTGCCGAAATTGCCGACCGAGATCGAGGAGAGCCGTGAGATGTCTTCCACCGATGATCTCAGTTCACGTCCACATTCACCATCGATGAGTTCCTCAGATGAATCCTACTCGAAGACGACTGAAGGTGAGGCCGACGAAGATTCACCGCGCATCACAGCGATGGGAAAACATAATCATCATCACCATAATCAACAACAACAACAACAACTGCATCATATTCAGCATCAGCAACGTAATGGTGCGAATCCATTACAATGGCTCTATCCATGCGACATACAAGTGGACCCCACTTCGCCTGTAGTGGATATGTCAAATCTGAAAGATTTCGAAGTGAGCTCCACCACAGAGAGTCAGGGTCAACAGACAAATACGACACAGAATAAGGGTGACTCCTGCAATAGCTTTGAATATCAGGACCGTGTATTGCTAGCCGCCAATAAGAAGCAGCATAGTAACGGTGGCAGCAGTAATGGCGGTGGCGTCAACAATGGTGGTTCCACTTCAGCCAGTAACTCGGCGAAATCACCGTTCGAGAGGGAACTGCAAAGACTTTTGAATGAATCGTCACGTGCGCGTGCACTAGCCGCCGCCACCTCATCGTCGGGTGGCAATATAACATCCGTTTCGAACTCCAACAGCAACCCTGAGGGCAATACGACGAGCAATAGCAGCAGTCGCAACAATATCGAACTGAGCTATTCAGCCAGCAACAGTAAGTTGAGTTCGAATAACGGACTCGCAGCGGGTGGTAGCGGCAGTAATGGCAATCTTAGCGGCAGCAATTCAATGAGTGGCAATAACAATCAAAAATCGTTGGCCACAACTATCTTAGACGAGCTGACCTCACCCACTACGGGTCGTCAGCCATCGAAAATACCGATTAGCACGAGTTTTATGATCGCCAAACATCCCGTCGGCCTGGAGGCCATCAAGGAGATCACACGCAACAAGAACCCATCAGAGTCAAGCCAAATGTAAGTTCTATAAAACGTAACACACAAACTCAAGAATTTATTCAAGTGCTTATTTTCCAATTTAGGCAAACCTCCGACACGGAATCCTGCGAAATTTTGCACGAGAACTGCAATCAACTGAATTTGAATATGTTAGATACGGTGAACAACCAGTCGTCTACATCAACGGGCACGGGCAATTGTCGTGACTCAAATCAGGCGCCACAACAGACGAAAGATCACAATCATCGACATCGTCAACGACCACGTTCCAAAGATCTCGATCAGAGTCGCGAGAGTATCGATCAGTTGGCCGATGGTGGTGAGCAACAGCAGTCGCAGCAACAACAACGGCATGTACGTCATCACCATCATCACCATCATCATCATCAGCGCCCGCAGCGTGTTAACCACACCACGGCTTTGAGTAATGACACTGAACGTGATGACACCGAAGACAATTTAGCCGATGAGGAATTTGAAGATGACGAAGTGAGTCATGATGTACGGAAGAAGCGAGTGGTTATAGCACCGACGGAACAGCAACAGCGCGTGAATAATATTGACTATGGATATGATGAAGAGCACGACGAACATGAAGGCAGCGGTATGTACAACCACCACAACCACGACGATCATGTCGATCGCTATGAAGACGATGTGGATGCCAATCGGCATGTCGAAATGAATGTGATAAACGATGAACTTAAATACGGTGCAGGGCATCATAATCACCAATCGATGGACTCAAATCCGTTGGAGAGTCAATCGGAATGGTCGGATGATGATTGCCGCGAAGAGGCTACAGGTAAGCAATGGAATTGGGGTTTCGGGTGAGGTGTTGTTAGAACTTGCGCATTCAAAGCTCAGTTAAAAACGGTACGCTATTAATGTATTTATGGGGTGAAATGAAGGGTACAAGCATACAAAGCAACTCAGCGTATCTTGTCTCGCACAATATGATCGATACGGTTGCGAGGTTTTCGATACAGAGATATCCAGTTAGCTTAGTGATGTTTCTCGTGTTGGAATCTAGTGCGGTCACAAGTACGCTCCAGGAACCCATAAAAAAGAATCATTGTCCTTCTCTACCGTCGGAGCCTGGCGCATTTTGAAAAACTTCGCATTCATGAGAATTATGGCGAGACATTCATCCACCAGGGAAAAGGCGAGGACTCGACAACTAAGTCTTTCTTCCGCCACGAATCGGAAACCAAATTTGAGACGACTAGGTTGACCACGTAGAGAAAGCCGCATAAATATGTACAGACCCATGTTTGATAGTCAAAGGATAGATCCTTCCTGACTTCGATCTACTAAAGACTGCTAATTGGAGGATAGCAGCGAGAATTATTTATTCTAATTCTGCAGATGCTTATAGAATTCGCTGGAAGATGAATTTCTCCAGTTTGGGAAAGCCTTGAGAAGTTTTGGACAGTTTATTTATGAAAGACTTGAATTCAAAGCCCAAGTGGCTTGTTAAATTGCCCTTCCCACTAACTGGCTTTTAAGTACTTGGATTCTTATATTCTCGGTATGTTACAATAGTAAGAACTCCCTGGGCAGTAAAAGCAACACAAGCACTTCACCATGTCTTTAGTGCTTTACAGAGCACGGGGCGTATATTCTCATCGTCGCTGTTTAATAAGAATCTATTCACATACGAGTACATATGTATATGTCTCTATCTCTCTCTATCTATTTTCCTTTATTCTGTCTCTTGTACTACATACATATGAAAATCAAAAAAAATGATCCTCATACTACAAACTCCCCACCTTTCAACCTCCCACAGGTGGCGCTGAATCAACAGGTTACATAACCGACGAACCAGGTTTGGAGAATATCTCACTGCTAAACGAAGCCGGTCTAACAGACGCCGAGGGCGCTCTCTCCGATGTCAATTCACTATATAATGCGCCCGATGTGGACGACACTTCGGTATCGAGTCGGGCGAGCTCACGATTACTCAGTTTGGATTCCTTAAGTGGTTTGTACGATTGTGATTTGGATTCAAAACATGAAATGGCGATCGTTAATGTTTCGCACAAAATTACAAGTAAATTTGGGCCACAACAACAACAACAACAAAGTTAATCGCTTCGTAATAGAGTAAAAGAATGAAGTAAGGGAACTAGAGGATGTAAAAATGAGAAAAGAAACTAACTCCAATTACAATTATACATACATACTTACATATATACGTATTACTACGTAAAGCCGACATACAAGCATACGCATACACATATAAATACGTATGTATATTTAAGGTAAAGTGAAATAGAGAAGTAACTAAATACATAGAAAATATGGTGTCTATTATTTTTCGGTGAATATACTGTAGCCCTTTTCCCCGTGATGACAAATGTATGCATACACATATTTACAACATACATATGTATGTGTGTACTCGTATGTCTATACCAAGTAAGAACTACATAAATAAGTATTTAATGTTTTAAGGCATATACATACATACATGAGGCAGAAGAAGAAGAAGGCGTAAAGTTACTGCAACTTCATACTTAATTACATAATAAGTGAAGAATATACATATAATACAATACATACAAGTGTAAAATGTACAGTTAAGTTAGTGAGTTTGAAAAATTGGTGCCTCCGACACGGTTATTTTCATTATAGAACAGCAAATATGTAAACGGAAGATATACTAAATACAAAAATACAAATATACAAGAAAATAGAAAAATAGAAATAGAAACAAAACCGAAATAAAAACAAATATAAAAATAAAAATGATAATAAAAATATAAATAAAAATTTATATAAAAATTTAAATAAAAATGATAATAATATAAAAATATATTAACAAAAATAATAAAAATTTAATATAAATAAAAATTAAAATTGAAATTGAAATTGAAATTGAAATTGAAATTGAAATTGAAATTGAAATTGAAATTGAAATTGAAATTGAAATTGAAATTGAAATTGAAATTGAAATTGATATTGAAATTGAAATTGAAATAAAAATAAAAATTAAAGTTAAAGTCAAAAGTAAAATTATAATTAAAATAAAGGAGAAATAAAAATTATAAAAAGAATAAATATGGAAACAAAAATAAAAATTAAATTAAAACTCAAATCCAAGTTCAAATTGAAATTATAATTAAAGGTAAAATTCAAATTCAAATTAAAATTAAAAAATAATTAAATAAAAAGCAAACATAGAAATGATTTGCAACAATGAAAGCACAACACATAAATAATGTTGAATTTAATAGCACCAGGTGCATAAAAGAAAAAGTACACACCTTCATGCATACAAACATAGAACTGCGCAATGTAGCAACAACAGAGAGTTCTTTTTTGTTAATCTACAAATCTAATTATTAAGCATAAATATAGGTAACAATTGTATGTATGTACATATATTTATTTAGTGATACATTTATGTGTATGTACATATATTTATTCAAAGAAGAAAAAAAACGCATACACTTGCATACATGCATACATAAGAACAGAAGGCTTTAAGTGAGTTGTAAGAAAAAAAGAAATCAGTTTTACACGAAGATACTAAATACATACATACTTACATACATGAATACCAATGTATATATATGTACATATGCACCTATATAAACAGTCCGCTGAAGTGATAATTAGTTTCAAGTAATGAAATCATTTAGCTTAGACGGGCCCAGGCTGCATCGTAACGATAAATTTCATGTTAATCAAACAAAAAATCAATCAGTTCGGTTGATGGTTAAAGCACTTAACAAAATAAATTTTATTTCGTTTTTTCTCGAAAAAAAAATGCTGCCGGTAATTTTAAAACGTTAACAGAGAATGTTAAATCGTTAACAGAGAATGTTAAATCGCTAACAGAGAATGTTAATGCGTTAACAGAGAATGTTAAATCGCTAACAGAGAATGTTAAATCGATAACAGAGATTTTTAAATCGCTAACAGAGAATGTTAAAGCGTTAACATAGAATGGTAAATCATCGTCCGAATTCAGTATTAACGTTTACGATGCATTTGTGCAGTTTCAACGGTAACAATTTCCTTTCGTTTCGATAACATGGCGTCAAAGCGATAAAAACTCATTTCATGAAGTTTATTTTCCATATTAACAAAACGAAAGGGCAAAGTTTCGTTAGTTGAGCATCTCTGGTTTGGACAAAGTGTAAAAGAGTAAAAAAACAAAGTTGGGTAAGCCATTATGCTTTTCTACATCCATACATACATACATATATTTACATAAGCATTTATGTATGTATTTTTGCAATTATAAATATTCTTATGTATTTATGTGTACCTACATCACATATGTATGTATGTATATATTTATAATTTTTCTCAAATATTAATTAATTATATGAATATTCATTCTCTTTCATACACACACACACACACATACACTTAAAATATATGGTGTATATTTAAATAAGCTAAAAATTATCAAAAAAAAAACATGTATATATGTATGTGTCTAAAGTCAGAATTGGAAATATGTACATATGTATTTGTAAAAAAAAAAAATTCAATTATACGTATTATTCGCCATTAGAAAAAATTAAGATCAACAAAGTATACTTAATGGTGATATGGAAATATTCTTTTTTGTAGTTTTCGGCAAATTCTTATTAATTTTTGGCACTCAATTTTCAATATACATACATATTTGCAAATTCTTCCGACTATTGTCTCTATTTTCTAAAATCCTTCAAATATACTGTCAATGTAAAATAATACCAAAAACATGGCCTCATGTGAGAGCTTTAAGGATTTTAAAATAAGAATTTTATTTAGCAGGGTTGCCATTTCATAAATTTGCCTCTCAAACTGAAGAGCGCATAAATTCGCTTCTTTACATATTGTAGCATAAATGTACGTATGTATGTATTTAAAATTTTCAGAAACGCGTAGTACTTCAACACACTATTCATCAATTTCATAGTATTAAACAAAAACTATTTCCTTAAAAATAATTCATTTGCAAACAAAGCCAGACTATTTTCTCGAAATTTTTTCTATTTTTTTTCTTTTAAACATCAATTTGCACATAAACGAAACCAAACTAAAATTTGCTTATGAAATTAGGTTAGGGTGAATACCAGTAGTAAAATGTCAAAACTGTGCTCTCTCGGTGTACATCAGCACGCCGTGCAGGACTCTTTTGTTCGAAGACGCTGATTTACCGGCTATTTTGATACAAAAATGCATTCGATTGAAAGAAGGCCTGAGAAAATTCCTCATTATGGCAGCATCACTGTTCTGGAACCGAAAAAAAAAATCTTAAAATATCACAAGCAAACTTCAGTTCTTTTAACTTGCACTATTATCTCGGTATAACTTTCATTACGATCACTTTAAATTGACGAGAAATTTATTTTTGCATGATGTGTAATATTAAATAAACTAAAAAAATATGCAAAACGCCAAGCGTTTTTAGTTAGTTTCTAAAAATAATCGTTTTAAAAGTTCGTATTAATAATTAATTAATAAAATAAGTAATGGCAGTGCCAATATATGTATATGTAATCAAAAAAGTGTGTTTATTTAATTTAAATTTAATGAACCATTTACCGGCAGAGTTTTCTTTGATTACTAAAGATTAACTACACAAATGCATACGGCTGACATTTTTTTAACGTAATAAATTTTAGAATTGTTTATAATTCATTATTTTAAATTGAATTGCTTAACATATAAACATGTATGTACATGTGTTTGTAGTATAACGAAATGCAAAAAATGGCTATTTAATATTTTTATTTTATTTTTTTAGACGGTAGTTAAAGTTTTTTGGTACAATATTTGATACCCTTCTTTGAGGCATTTTAATATATATATATATATATATATATATATTTTTTCTTTTTTTTTTTCTTTTGTTTTTGTCATTTTGTTTAGACACTAAGCGTAATTAGTCTTATATTTAATCCGGCATTGTTGTAAACATGTTATTTACTAAAAGTCTAAGCATCATCTATGCATGTACATATGTATTTGCGAAAAAGTATAAGCATACATACAAATGTATGTAATAAACAACATAAGCTTCTCATGCACAACTAACTATGTACTTTAAATATTTTTTTTTTTTTATATTAATTATTAAGTTCATTATGAATTGTAAAAAAAAACACGAGTATTCACAAAACTGTACGCTGTATATACAATACATACATATGTAACTAAAAAAATTAATTAAAAAATAAAAATAAAAAAATTCTTAAATAAAAATATTAATTAAAAGATAATTATTTTTTTTTTTTTTTGGAATTCTGGAAAAGAAATAATCAATTATTTTTTCTAAAATTGAGCGTGCATGTAGTGTTAAAAGGAAATAATGAGTAAATTATTTCCGACGCCGAACTTCACTCAGTGAGTCTTCCAGATGTTTAGTATACGACTTTTTTGAAGTTAAGAGATTTTCTTAGGAATTTTTGGAAAACTTCAAAACAAATTCTTTAGAAATTAACGTAGTTAATGAAGGCTTACCTATTAAGTTAGCGTGAAAATATCGCAGCAGGAAATATTCTTCTTAACGCGAATTTCATGTAAGCGGCTTAACCTTCATTTATATATAGAAGCCATTTTTTCGAGCTGCAGTTTACTCAAACATTGTGAAAATAAAGCCGTTTTGGAAGTATGAAAAAATTTTTAGCAATTATTTTAACAGCCGTACTTGCTACGGGCTAAGCCGCGGTGGACTTTTGTGTCCCATCATTATGTGCGAACACTGGAGGCAATTTGCATATTGTATGCAATAATGATGGCGTGGGTATTATTATTCCTTAAAACACATACTAATTTGTATAAAAGTGTTATAACCGATATTTACTTACAAATGCTTGTAACAATGAGCTGCATGAATCCGAGTTCACTTAACATACTTAAAAAAAAAACAAGTTCTCGGTCATCTGTGGCTCGTGTAATTTAAATTAATTAAAATAAGACTTCAACCACAGTCTTTTAATTTACATTTTTAGCGAAAAGTATATCTAAGCCACAGCTCCGCTTCGCCCATTTTTATTTTCTTTTTTTTTAAGTATTATCCTTTCAACAAGTAATTTTCATTTTGGGGTTATATCACTTTGATATTTGATTTTAATGACAGGAATTTCGCACCTGTCAAAAAATTACACGGCCATATGCTATTTACATTTGCCACAGAAGTTCGCCGATAGTTGTCCATTGGATGCAAGAATGGTCAATTTTAAGGAACATATAAATTTTATTTTAACTGAACACAATGAAAAGGCAGGGAATGTTCACCCCTCTGAGTGTATTTCGAACATGAAGTAAAGGCTCGTCGTAAAAAAAAACCATCAGCCGTTTGGAGGTATAAATTGCAGCTCGGCCGAAAATCGCTTCAGCGGTTACAAAGTGCCAATTATAAATATATGCAATCAAAGGCGCAATAAATTGGCTGCTGGTAAAACATACAATATATCGACTTATGAGAGTGATATGCGTATGGCCAAAATGCAGTGGAATGATGAATTTGCCTATATTGCTGCATAAAATGTTAAGAATTGTCTTGTTGTTGTTGTTGTTGTTGTTGTAAACGCAAAAATAATCCTCAAAGTACTTTTTGGAGAATGTTGCGGGAGGGACAGTCCTTGGCCGGATAAAAATCCGGGCCGTTCCTGTATAAAGATCCGACTGTCGCGGGAACTATAAGATTTTAGTCGCCTCTTACGACAGGTATACCTTACCGCGGGTAGAATGTAGTTGTAAATGATGGCTCTCGTAATGCAGCGGAATATTCTTGTGCAGAATATTCTTGTGCGGGCAAAGAGACGACATTCAGTGATGCTGAAGATATCCAATTTGGTACCGAAAATTGGTTTGATGAGCATGTAATTGGTTCAATGGAATATATGAGACATTATCCAAAGGATTTTGAGATGCAGTAAGTATCAAAGTAGCTACATTTGTATTTTAACTACTATTTTTGTATACACATATATGTACATATATATATTTCATTTTATACTCTAGTAAAGAGTTTTTACCCTTCGCTCTAAAGGCTATAGGTTGAGCTGCATCACGCTACAAGGAAGATGATTATCAATTTGTACTATTTACATGCAATTACACGTCAGCCGCTTTACTGAATCGACCAATTTATTTCGAATACCGAGGGCTTTGTTCTACTAGTGGAAAATATCAATAATTTATTGTTAAAAATTAAAAATTGTTGCTTAAATCAATAAAGTTTTAAAAGTTCTCTATGCTAATCTTAATTTTTTTTAATTTATTTGCGTGTCCTAGAAGTTTTTTAGATTTCTTTCGCATTTCCTCTAAAAAAAACCAAACTAAGCCGAAAAAATTACGGAAATTTACATGGTGGAAATTGACAATTTAAAATTTAAAAAATCTGGAGTAGGAGTAACCGTAACTTTCAAATTAACGCGCATAGTTCTACGCTGAAACGGATGTGTGTTGCGTCTGTCAAATTAAACTACCGTGTTTCAAGCAGCGGTACCAATGAATAAATGTCAATCTTTCTCTGAAAATTTAATAGCCTATACAATGTTGGACAATTTTTTTTTAATCTTTCTACGACAAAATACTTATGGCCGTTTTCTCGAGTTCCTGTGAATGTGAAAAACGGTCCTTAATGATTTAAATCAAATTTAAATAAATTTAAGCAAATCTTCAAAATAAAATGCATAAATTATTGACTTCGTACCATTTTGACATTATCCAATCAGCTGACAACTGGCAGCCTACACACGCATCTAACTTCATCATAAATATTGGCGCGCTTTTTGTTTTCATTCGCGCACGATCTGACATTTAAAAGCTTTATTTGTGAGATTTTGTGCATTTAATTTAATAATTAACAAATATTTTCGTTGAAATTTGTGCAAATATCTAAAGGTATGCAAAGTACAGCAGTCAAAACGCCTGCTTCAAGTAAAAAAGAAGGCGATGCTGCAAAAAAAGCGACTGGTAAAAAGCTTGTGCAGGCACGGCTGCCGTTTAAAATAATTCCATCTGGAACTCCTGCTGCTGCTACTGCTAGTTCAGCTGAAACCAAGGAGCTGGAGAATTCAACGAAGGATGGCAGAAAACGCAAGTTATCTTTTGAAGTTGAAAAAGAAGATAAAGAGAAAACGGAGAATAGTGACTCTGATGCTTTACGTGGACGCTCGGCTAGCAAAGAGAACTTGACTGTAAGCGCAAAGAAAAAGAAAACAGCGGTTGCTGACGATGATGTTATATTATTGGATGATGACTCTGTGGAAGGTGATGATGATGATAATAACGTTAAAGCACTTGAAGATGGAAAAGACATTTCTGTGAAAGAAAAAGAGCCAGTGGAAAAACAAAATACAAAGATGCCGATTGCAAAGCCAACTCCGAAATCGGTAAATAAAACTTCTGCTAAAAAAGCGACTAAAGCGCTTAGTTCACCGCGCACACCAAGGCCAAGAGGAGCCAAGGAAACGGATGCAGATACACCGAAAAGTACAAAAGCCAAGAACTCCACAACACCCGGAAGTGCGAAAAATCAAACCAGTAACAACAAATCAAGCGCTGGTAGTAGTGCAACAAAAGTGCAAATAAAATTACCATTAGGTAGCGTAAAGTCTAACAAGCGAAGGAAGTCAAAAATTCTAGTACATAGTGACGATGAAGAAGTGATTGTTTCCAGCGACGACAACGCCGGAAATCCTGTAAAGAAACAGAAAGTTGTGGCAGATATCCCTAAAGATGATAAAAAGGTATGCATTGTCGACAATGTTTTATTTATAAATTAATATATAATATAATATTTATAATTTATAATTAAAACAACATATTGGTAAGTGCAGTTAATTTATGATTGTAAGATTAATTAAATATGAAAATTACTACCACTATTATTTGCAGGCTGAAGTACTTTCTAATTTGGATTCAGATAAGACGTCTGTGTCCACTCACAACGATGCCGTTTCCATTGAGTCTGGGGAAAGCTCAAATGTTTTGGTGCTGGAAATTGGTGGTAATGAAACAGATCTGGTTGATTCAGAGCTTGATAGTCGATGTAGTTCAGTAATTATTAACTCAAAGGATACGACACCAGAAAGAGGTTCCAAGAATGCTACTACTAATAAAACTGAAGAGAATTCATCAAAGGAGCAACCAGATAAAGATACCAAAAAGGTATATCCGAAACACGATTCAAAAAGCGATGATGAATGTAAACCAGTAGAAAATGTAGGAACTGGCCTAGAACATAATTCATCAACAAAAAATGATCAAAAAGCTAATATAAAGTCGGCTAAGCCACAGAAAACGCCCGATAAGAAATTGAAATCAAAAGAAAATGAATCGCCAGCGAAAGCTACTCAAACAAAAAATGTTAAGAAATCACCCGAAAATTCCTCTAAAAGGGATCGGTCTCCAACTGACGACTCTAGAGACAAAAACATTGAAACCCGCGGAGATGACTCCGTGGTAGTCAATAGTTCTTCGGATTCTGAACAAAGTTCATCTTCTGCTAGAGACGAATCCAAGTCTTACGCGGAGGAAAGCACTTCTAAAATCGACGCTACACCAAAGCACGTCAAAGACGATAATAATTCAATATCGAAGAAGACCCTTACCCCAAAACAAATTAAACTTATGGAGCAAAGACGTAAGGCACGGGAGGAAAAGGAACGCCGCTTACAGGAAGAAAGAATGCAAAAACAGCGCGAAAAGGAGGCCAAGGAATTATTAAAGAAACAGGAGCGTGAGGAGCGTGAAGAGCAACGCCGCAAAGAAAGAGAAGAGAGAGATGAGCAAAAACGCAAAGAACGCGAGGAGCGTGATGAACAGAAACGCAAAGAACGTGAAGAAAAGGAAAAGAAGCGAATGGCCGAACAGGAAGCAAAAAATGAAGAAAAGCGTAAGCGCAACGAAGCCAAGGAGGAGGAGTTGCAGAAAAAAGAGGAAGAGCGTAAACGCAAAGAAGCCGCCGATTTGAAGGCAAAAAAAGAAGCTGAAGCATTCCAAAAGTTTTTCAAAGCAAAACGAACATTAAACACAGATGCTGACACCAACCAACAACAAACAGAACCAACTGGCGATTATGTGCCTGAAATGCTTGCTTTTCGGCCTTTCGAAGTAAAAGGTGACATGAAAATGGCACCTCTACGACGCAAGCAATTGATTCCAGCTGCTAGACATAAACTTGAAGTTTGTGTAGGAACAGATAAGGAAGCCACTTTGCAAAGTAGTGATTTGTATCTTGCCGAACTTAAAAGTGGTAAAATAACCCCGGGCATCTGGAGGCGTATATCCGTGGATACAAAAGCATCCGATGACGATGTGCAAATCATAGGTTTTACTATTCACAACCATAACGATGATATTAAACTAACATCTATTTTCTGATACAGATGACGAACTAGATCGCGCAGGACAGGCGATTGTTGAAGAGACACATGTACCAATTGAACACTTCCGAGCCAAATTCTATAAATTCCATGAAAATCGGCGACCGCCATATTATGGCACATGGAGAAAACGTACAAATGTGATAAATCCAAGACGGCCTTTTGTGCAGGATACGGTAAGTTAGTCCTTTTTTTTTGTTGTCATTAAATAGAAAATAATGCAGTTTTGAAATATAACCGATACTTACACTCATCATAATCTTGCAGAAATTCTTCGATTACGAAGTTGATTCTGATCTCGAGTGGGAGGAGGAAGAACCTGGTGAATCTCTTGATGGCAGTGATGATGAGAAAGAAAAAGAGTCGGAAGACGATGACTATGAGGTCGACAATGAATGGTTTGTGCCACACGGTCATCTCAGTGAAGAAGAGCTGCAAAATGAGGATGAAGTGCTCGATGCAAATACACGTGAAGCACAAAAGGCCAAATTACAAGTTTTACAGCGAGAGTTTGCGCAAGAGATGAAAAAGAAAACCGAGAAAATCAAGCCACGTTTAATCGGTTGTATTTGGACGGATGAGAATGGCAATCAACCGACATTGTGCCCAAAGATAATCTGGGACACTCTAAATATGCGTGCAATGTTATGTCAAGGTCCACCGCTCTTGGAGGATCCCGAAGTGCCGGATAAAAGCGAGCCTGGCTCACCCACGTCTAATGGCAATGAAAAAACGACCGAAAAGATAAAACCCATCAAAATCAATGAACGAATGCTCAACGACTTGGTGCGCTTAGTGCATGGAAATCGACATTCGAAGAACTTCTTAATAAAGGAATTTATAGCCTATTTGGAAGCCAATGAAGAGTCGATCAAGAACGGTGAAGTGCGTGGTCCAATCAAATCAATTGTACGTGAGAAAATTGATGAGTTCGCCGAATGGACAATTACTGAAGCGACAAAAATAATGCAAAATAATAAGAAGAAAAACAAGAAACATCTTTGTTGGATAGTATCTGCTGATGTACTCAAAAAAATGGGTCTCGAAGATTTAGGCTTACAGAATACATGGAAATATACATTACAACCGAAAATAGCCGATAAAGACGAGAGCACAAAACCAGAAGTTGAAGCACAAACAGAAAGTGTGCCTAAAGAAACGCCGGCAATAGCTGTTGTTGAAGATAAACTTAAAGAATGTGAGCCACCTACCCCAAAAAACAAAATGAAAAATTCAGCTAAAGAAAAATCAGTAGCGAGCAGTCATAAGAAAGAAAAGAAAGCGAAAAGACATACAGAAATAACAAAATTCGCAAAAGTACTGTCGCCCAAATCACCGAAAACTCAGCAAAAAGTGATTCCGAAATCGTCTACCGTTGAAAGTCAACCAGCAACGAGTAAAACCACATCAACATCATCATCACCAGCCACACCCAAACCAGCAGCAAATGTTAAAAAGCGTGTGCCGTTGCTAATGTCTGTAGCGCGCGGTCAAAATATTCCAGAACCAGCAAAGAATGCGCTTATTAGCGAGTTTCTGAAGAAGTCCAGCCCTAAAAGTGAGACAGGCTCTAGCAAAACAGCACAATCGGCAACAACTTCTACTGCCAACGAAGTGAGCGAAGTTGTGGAACTCGACTAAGCAACTTTCTGTAGTATATAATTTAGTTTTTTAATTGTAGTTTTTACATTCTCTTTAATATTATCGTTAACGCTGTTGCATACATAATTCCTGCGCAAATAAAATTTATTATAAAATTTACTATTTTATTCAAACACACGAATAGTTAGTGTAAGTAATATATCTTCTAATAAGCACATATTTCAAGTCCACAGACATATACATACATGTTTGCATATAAATTCTAAGCGCATGGTCTGTACACCTTTGTCACATGTACTTTAGTATCCCCAGTAATTGTTCTTAAGCCGCAGCAAATACAGCTCACACTAATTATTATATTTGTTATGTTTTATTGTGACATTTATAAATTTGCTAAAAACTATTTTTAGTTTCTTATATTCATTTATATATATATATACGGTCAGTTAAGATCCAATTTTGTATTTTCTTAATGTTTTTCTTGTAAAATACATACATACATATGATCATTTAGTTTATCATTGGATTCGAAAGAAAAATGTTGAGTTTAAAATTATTCATAAGAAATGAAATCATAGGGGAGGCATAAACGAGAAAAGCTAATTTGGCAATGCCAATGCCAATATACAAAACTTTAATATTAAATACTTTTTTGTGGATGAATAAATATTTTTCAGCGATTTTTTGAATTATGTCAAGATTCCCATTGATAACCTCCACGGATAACCTTGTGTCTCTCTATGACTGGTGTCGCATCATGTCATACTATACAGCGCTGAAAGCGTGTTTATTTACGCTAAAAGTTTGTCTTTGACAGTTTTTCGATTGATTGACTCAGTACGTTGTGAGCGCTCATCAAAGATGGACACCAGCAAAGAGAAAATTCGCTATATTCTAAAATTTTTCTTCGATCAAGGCGAAAAAGCAGCCAAAGCGGCTGAAAAATTAAGATAATTTCGTTAATGGGCCCAATACTGTAAACGAACGTGTAGCACAAAAGTGGTTTGTTAGGTTCCATTCGGGTAATTTCGATGTCAAAGATTCACCACGCATCGAGAGGCCTGTGGTGGAAAATTGCGATAAAATCATGGAAATTGTGGAAAGAGACCGTCATGTGAGCACTTATTTAATAAGCCAGATGTTGGGTGCCACACGAACTATGCTCCCCTACGGCCAAACGCTCAATTCGGCTCTCTACTGCCAACAAATGGACCGTTTGAATTCAGCACTCATCCAGAAGAGACTATCTTTGATCAACCGAGGACGAATTATGTTCCATCAGGACAACGCCAGGTCACACACGTCTTTGGTGGCGGTCCAGAAGCTCCAAGAGCTCGGATGGGAGATCCTAATACACCCACCTTATAGTCCGGACCTGCGAACAAGTGATTACTATCGTTTCCTGTCCATGGCTAACGCACTTAATGGTTAGAAGTTGGCCTTAAGAGAGGCCTGCGAAAATTGGTTCTCGGAGTTTTTTGCCAATAATGAAGTTGGCAACAAGTTTATGAACAAAACGGCGCATATTTGACTTAAATCGGACAAATGTACACAAAGTTATCATATTTTGAAATAACAATAAAAAAACCGAACAAACCTTTTACTTGACCTAATATTATAATAAATTCAAATATAACACCGTAGAATCAGCTACTAATCGTGTTACCGAAGGCAGCTTTAAAAGGGATGAAAGGGTGATTGGTGTTGATCGTCTTTTTCTTGAGGCTTTTCCGATATTTTTCATTTGAAGAATATCTGGTCAATAGTAGACTAACCAAGTCTTAAGCCAAACTGATTAGGTCCAAACAGTTTTTTGACGATGGGCTCTATACAATACGTTTCTTGTCAAGATATGCATCTCGGTATCTATCCTACCCCGCCAGTATACGATCGCACCGTCTCCACTAAGGGACGGCAATTTTCATAGTAGCAACTGTTTTTTCAACCTATCCAAAATACCTTCCCTCAGCGCTCTTATACCGGAATACTGATGAGTGCTCTCAGTGAACAGGAAATCAAGTAGAAATTCGTTTAATTGTCGAATATACGTCGAACTTTCCTCTTGTTTGTTGACGAACATGATAGTGATACGAGTCGATCTTGGATCCTTGGAGTGTACGCACGACAATAACACAGGAGAAATGTCGTCCGTCTGTCCCCACATTATCGATCTGGTTGTGAGTTTTTCGATCTGCAGTAGCTTGATGTATTCTCTAGTGCTGGAATCTAGTACTACAGAGAACCCCTAACTCAGCCTTTGGTCTTAAAAGGACATCAACCAGTTGAAATCTTACCAATTAAGAGAGTAGGCACTCTGGGTGCATGTCCTTAAAATATAGTCCTTACTACGTTTGCAGTGGTCATCTTAAAAAGCGGGGTCTCACCCCAAACCTTTATTGATAACTTTCTCATTGGAGCTGGTTTGTACTTGGCCGGTCTCAGTATCAGCGCATAACCTCGTTAGGAGACATTTAAATAACCAACCGCTTGATTCAAGATTGATAATTAGACTTCAAAAAATCCTTAAGCCGAATATATCGAAGTGGCTCCACTGAAGTTTCGTTTCTTTTAGCCAATGTTCCACAGAGTAGGAACTGAGTATAGCCCCCGAGGCTTGACTACACCCAATTTCAACCTTTAATGAAAACAAATCAACCTCCGGGAATAGCGTCTTAAAATTAATTTTTTATTTGCAAAAGCAAATTCGAATTTCCACACCCCACCCCGCTCACCGCACATCCGTCGGCAGCATGCGGCCATCAAATCGCCGAAACCATTTTAATTTCAGCAAGCGATTATGTATTTTAGCACCGCCGAGATAAAAAACCAATTTCTTGCGCTCTTCACCCAACTCTTCCGGTGCTTCCTTCGCTTCAGCCAAATCAGTGATTAAAATATCGGCCGCAAGTACCGCATGCATTAAATGCACAACACACGTCACAATGGCAACAATCGCCTGAGTCTTGGAGTAGCCGAAGAATTGATGTCCCATCTCTGCTTCAATAATTTCCACTTTGGCCGATAAATACATTAAATATAAATCCTTCTCCGCATGATACATCGTCGTGACGGCGGTGATGAAGTAGCCAAAACTAGCAAAACCATTCCAAATGACTTCTCGCTTCAAGACTGGCTCGTTTTCCATGCAGATATTCATGCAGCCAAAGAAACTTGTGCAGGTGAATACCGAGAATACAGTTATGTAGAGGTATAAATCCTGTGATACCGCCACATTCAGAAATCCCTCGATTTGTATGCCCATACAGAGGCAGCCCAAGCAGCCCTCGATCAATTTGAAGCAGAACCAAATGCTGCGCATTCTCTCTCTCGCTGATGTGAAAGTACCTTTCTTAAGCCTAAAAGATCGAAAATTGTTTTCAATTATCGCTCAATATGGTTGTAATTATTTTACAAAAAAAATGCCTGTCTTCCCTTATTTTTTTGCTAACTTTCAACTTCACTTTGAGTGACTTGATTGTATAAACTTGGCGCTTGAACATGCATACATATGCATTAAGAGCGGGGTTGTTGTTACAGCAAAATGTTCCTAAAATTGTTCCTTACGGAGATAAACTGCCTTCTTCTGATATAAAGCTCGGAGGGTCTTCAGATCTTTTTTGTTTTGGTAACAAAAAATGTACGTCTTGACTTCAGTCTTCTTTCTGAGCGATGCTCGAGACTTGAACCGACTCCATATTAATGCCTACTTTAAGTGAAACTCTGTCTTCTCGTCGGAGACCGCCAATAAATAAAAATTTAAGTAGACAATTGAAAAGAAAAATCCTCTTCCGACGTACGAAAACCAAACTCTACAAGTCGCTCATCGTTCCCGTCTTTCTATTATATATGGTGCGGAAGCATGGACGACGACCGCATCCGATGAGTTGGCGTTAGGAGTTTTTTTATGAAACGATGAGCTGCCCGAGTTATACGGCGACATTGATATAGTTCAGCGAATCAGGAAGCAGCGGCTACGATGGCTAGGTTATGTGATCCGTATGGATGCGAATACTCCAGCTATGAAAGTTTTCGATGCAGAACCCGCCGATGGAAGCAGAGGAAGACCTCCGCTGCATTGGAAAGACCAGGTAGAGAAAGACCTGGCTGCACTTGGTAATTCCAATTGGCGCCAAACAGCAAAAAGAAGAAGCGAATGGCGCATTGTTGTAAATCGGCTATAATCGCGTAACCGGTGTCTAGGCCTCCATTCAATAAAATGTCTTCATACTTGTTCTAAGCGCGTGCAATATCGTTTGTGTTTCTAACTACTTAAGGGCATTAGACCCCACCATTCAAAACGGCTACCATCGAACGATGACAAAGGGAATGGCTCGGAATCACTTTGGAAACTGATGTCGAACTGACTTAGAAAGCCGTAGAATCCTGTTGGCAAACAACTCCAAGGATAGCGAGCAACATGACCCGGGCGCATGGAGTTTTACAAGACTTAGGTCCGCAAGAAGCTATGTATATTAACACTCACTAGAAAAAGCGACCGAGTAGAGCAGCACCTTCCATATTTAGTGAGATGTCCACACACTCATTCCGCCAGAACCCAAGCAACAGTGACAGCGTCAGAACAACAGACTTCCATTTAGGGCAAAACCACTGCCTAATGACTTTACCCAATGAGTTTCTAATGCAAGAGCTGCTCTTTGACATCCAAACTCTGATTAAGGAATGGCTAAAGCCATGTGCCTGGTCGACTGACAATGAGAACTGGACGTGATAGCCCTCCTACACCCAAAGTTAATCATATTGACATCACCAAAGCAATCGTTTTAACGTCTTAAGAAAACGACGAAACGAATGTTATACTCCTTTAACAAAAAAAGATTTGTGGTCTTCATGTTCATGTTCTTCTAACAATGTCTTCTTCTTTTCTGAGCCGCGTCCCAACGTTGAAACTTTATGATGAGTTTTTTGTTTTATGTCAACACTCAAAAGCATTGGCATACCCTGAGGAGAAGAATTTGCCTTAGGATGAAGAGTAGCAGTTCTACTCCGTTATTTCGGTAGCCGTTGTTGTACTTTATGATCTATTCAAAGCCAAATTCGAACCAAACGAGCTCGCATCATTCCGGTTTCATTCATTTGTAAGTCATTCCTCCAAAGTGTGACTTGCCCTTAGACTCTTCTCTAGCGGAAATTTTTTCTTGAGCTCAGCATATTGATACCTCTTTCCCCTTCCTAAACTGGAATTGAATTCCCTGGCATCCCTTTAATTCCCCGATCCTCAATGAAGAAATCTCTTCTTAACGTTAAATTTTTCTTGAATTACATCGCAAATCAGCTTTTGCAGACGGTAGTCACCGGAATGAATGTATAAATCCTTTTCGTCTGACCTCATTCACTGGCTGCAAGAAAGATATGAGGAACTTCGTATGAACACTGCTTGGATCCCCCTGCGGGTTAGAGGCTCAAGAATTTACCCTCGGTAAGGCATGCCTGTCGTAAGAGGCGACTAAAATCCAATAGTTCCCGCGACAGTAGGGTCTTTATACCGGAACGACCCGTATTTTTATCCGGCCAAGGACTGTCACAACAACAACACTGCTTGGAAATGCTTTCTTCCATTCAGACGACATGACATAAATCAACGCTTCTGACATGACTGCCGAAATTATCCACTTTAAAGTTTTAACTGGCAACAGTGACATGGCAGCCGCGTCCCGAATGTGATGACTATTTGTTTGAGGACAGGAGATATTTCGTCACGTTGTTTGCCCTCTTTCACTACCATACCCATTTGCCTCTTTCCTGGAGAAGTAATGGTGTTGCTATTGAGGCCAATGTGCATCGTAAAACTGATGGAGCTTTAGATGTTGCTCAGCATCAGTTTACACGGCGACATAAGCTTTGTGGGGATACCATAGTTAGACATGGGCAGTTTCTTTCCGTGCTATCGAAGAAAATCGACTTAGAGTTGGCGTGTGTCACTTTTTTCACGGGTTCTTTACAATATTTGAAAATAGCTAAATCCCGTATGGCTCCACCGATGCGAATAACAATGGCTTCATAACCCCTGAACCAATTTGTTGTGTCCGGCTTAATGTTTTCCCAACAAATGTTGAGACCATAAGTTAATTCACAGCCGTCTCTGAAGGGCTGATGTAATTCGATGAGGGTTTTTCTTTATATCTGGTAAGAAATACACACGGAAGGGGTTAATATTCTCTGTCGGAGACGAGCTTATTTAGAAAAAATTGATTTTAAAAAACACTTTCTGTAATATTTTTGAGCGCCGTACCCTCTGCATGGTAGCACGGTCTGATAACTACTGTTATTGTAACCGTAAAAGTTTTCTAAAAAGGAATTTTTGGAAATGTTGCTTGAGTGATAGGTCTTGACCGTCTAAAATCTCTAAAATCTGGCTCGTTCCGGTATTAAGACCCGATTGTGGCCGGAACTATTGGATGTTATTCACCTCTTACGATAGAGTTGCCTTTCCACGGCTAAATTCTTGAACCCCCAATCCGCAGGTTCAACTGCTAAGTACTCGTCTACTGCGCCAGCCAATTGTAGAGTCGTTGTTGGAATAACTTTTAGCCCACTTTTACATTGAGATTGTTAGAAGGAGACATCTGTCCTTAACATATTCCAGTTGGCAGACTCCAGAACGTACTTACCGAGAGATCAAGTCTTCCATTAGTCCTAGATCCCAGCTGTTACAATCACTGTTTCTCTGCACTTTTTACTTAGAAACTAGCCTTTTGAAGGCGTCTTCGAACAACTGGTGGGTTTTGCGGGTCGTATTCTGTTTTTATCTAAGGAAAATGTCTATTCGTCTTGGAAACTATCCATATTTTTTTTTTTGAGGTTAATTTACTCTTGACTTCAAGCGGTTCTCAGCTCTGATAGAAGCAAATTAAAAAACTTTTTTTTCTTAATTTTGCAACGATGGCAAGCAGATCAAGCCCGCATATTTACAACAACAAATCGACAAGGCAGGAGAACCGTTAATTTAGCAAGTGCAGTCAACTGCCAGCGACATTCTATGCAGTGCGGAGATGTCCTTTGTACGTACACACACACACATACATATATTCATATCCAAAGTTTTTGATAAAATTGAAATTTGCTTTAAAAGCTATGAAAGTGCCCAAAGATGTAAGTGAATTAAATTTCTGCCAATAAAAAATATTCACACCAACAAAACCCACTTCCCTTTCCCAGGTTATTTGTGGAGTGTGCAAGAAAGTCTTTTGCTGTGCCGAATGCCGTTATAAACACGAAATAAAAACACACGCCATTGTCATAAAAAAGCCAAAAGCTCAAAAGCCAACAGCAACAAACAGTACAGAGTCCACCGCACAGGTGGATGAAGTGAAGAAACACGAAATCAGCCAAATCTATCTCTTCTGTCCGCTTTGTGAACGCAAGCCGATGCCGCTGCAACGTGAAATGTACGCCGAGATGTTGGCGCATGTGGAGGAATTCCATCTGCCGCTGCGCTGTCGCAAGTGCACTAAGGTGACTATGAGTCCGCGTGTGTGAAAATTCAAAACATTATTTATATGCTTCCCCACCCCCATTCCCAACCACAGGTCTACAACCGCATCGACGACTTGCAGAATTTCTCAAAATGTACACACACCATCAATCCGGTGTGTTGTTACCCCGAACAGGGTTGGTGTAATCAATTCGATCAGACCTGCGACACCGTTACTACGCAAAAAGACTTGGCCAAAGTCACTATCTCGACGCAAACGTCGCCGCTGCGTCGTAACAACGATGAGTTTCACGAGACGCCCATGTCTATCATTAATCTTCGTTGGAAGGCCAAGGGTAAGCTGACGCAAGAGGAGTTTGTGTATGACAGCGTTTCCTCTTTGAAGAATATTTCATCGATCAGTAGTGGTTCATTGCGCCGCAGCTTGGACGCTATGCTAAAGCCGAAAGGTCAACTCGTGCGCACTACTTCGACGCCGGTGCACGCCGAACTGCTGTGTACTAAGCATACAGAGCGCACCTTCAATGCCTCCGGTGGACAAGTGTCCAGCATTTATCATAGTGGCGGCGAAACTGACAACCATAGTCCTGCCTTGGCTACAGGCGCAACGGCTACATCAAATGCTGCCGGGCAGTCACCATCTAAACAGCATTTGGAGAGTATTAATCGCTATCTGAAGGTTGGTGGGCCGCGTGGAAAGATGAGCGCCGTAACACCATTACGTCAGGTGATGTCGAAGAGCATACAAAAAGCCTTCGCTGAACATGGCGGCTTGCCATCGACGCGTGCCAGTGGCACTGATTTGCCGAAGCTACGTAAGAAGATGTTTGACTCACACGCCACGGAAAGCAGCTGCAGTTCTGTTGGCTCGCCACTTGATTTACGTATGTCGCCGGTCGTGCGGCGCACACATAGTGAAGTGCAAACAAGCCAACATCAAGTTTACAATGTGTCGGAGGAGAAAAAACCCACTACAAGTACAGCCCGGAATGTTTGTCATGAAGTTGTGCGCTCAGCACAAAGGCTCACCACCACCGAATCTATTGTAATTACACGCACCAAACACTTGACCAGTCTAGAATCTGCGGAAGGCAACATAAGTGAAGCCAACAGCTCGAATGCATCCAAAACCTCGGATAAACTGACCGCATCTTCAACAAACTCAAGCAGCAGTAGTGGCGTATCGAGCAACAGCGGCAGTTCTATCTATAAAACCTGCGAGAGTATCGAAATCATTACGGCCACGACCGCGATGAGCGAGCTACAGCAGGATTACTATGCCGTCGCGGACAAACGCGACAAATCAGTCGAAAGATTCGTGCCCGCTATGGCAAATGTGGCACAGGTTGTTAACTATAGTTTGCCGCCAATTACACCCATCACACGCATTCCTGGCGCGCTGATAAACAAGAAGATCATACGATTTGATTCACCCTGCGAGGAGGAGGAGGAGGAGGTGGAAGAATTAAAAAGTTCAACGGATCAAGAAGAAGACAAGGAAAACATTAAACCTCTAGAAAATCATACCACCCCCATCAAAAGCACGATTCCGCATGCATCACCGAAGTGGGTCCAAAACAATACAGCTAATGCAGGTTCAAAAGCCATAGAAGAAAAAGTTACAGAAACCCCACGCAGCACCAATTCTTCCATTTCTGACGCCTTCTTTACGCCGAGTGCAACGCCTCTACCAAGAAGTAAACGAGTAGCGTACCCTGAAGGGTCACTGAAACCACATAAGTTTATCGAACCCACTGCAAGTCGTGCACCTTTGCTTAGTAAAATTGACAGACGAGCTGCCTTCGATCGCTCTGAAACCGTAACTGATAGTGACATTGAAAATGACGTGGTTCATCATGGTGGTACACCTAAACATCAAGACAACCGAAATATTTCAACCGGCCTGGGGCGATCATGGTCATTTGGCGCTTTGCTGGGTTCCGTGATGCGTTTAAGGACGGGTAAAGGCCCAGCAGTGGAGAAAACTGAAACTCAGGGCAGCAAAGATTGTCATTCGAATTCAGTAATAAAACGCTGCGCGTCTATAGCAGGTAAGTTGCATCACACTTAAAACTTCTTTAATGATTGGTCTCAATAATGTCGGTTTTCCGGGGAGGGTTTCGATTTGATGATTTAGAGATCAAATCGGTTTTCCAGTCGTGACCTTCGTAAGGGGCGACTAAAAATCAAAGTTCTCATAGTAGATAGACCAGTCAAATCTTGCCAAGAGCTCTCCAATTATCCAAAGCAGGTTTAGATCTCCCCGAGCGGTACTCAGTCCGTTACCACAAAATAGATGATGCAGAGAGTATTAACGACGAGACAAGCTCAAGTATTATCCAGAGCCGAAGTGGTTAGTGCATTACAATGATTCTTCGTTTAACAAATAGGCAGAGGCAGCTCCGAAGATATAGAATACAGAGAATGTAGAATGAGAAGGTTTTGCGACACATGCTAAGAGGAAGCGAAGATGCAAATTACAACCGAATGTAGAGCTCAAGAAGCAGTTCGAGCATAACGGCCGTGTTTAGTGATGAAAAGTGTCAGTTAGTTTTTGATATTTGGTGTGATTCTCTAGGGCAAAAATGGGTATCCAGTCAGTTGTTGTTTTTCTGCCATAGTGACAATCCAACCCCGCTAAAGGCAGACAAGACTAGTCTGACTCATCGAGGTCATCTAATGGGAGGTCCAGGAAACGAGCTGCTTAGATGCATTAGAACCAGGTGGCAAGGGGGGTTAAATGGGTGGGTTTTAAAGGGCATGCAAAGAACTGCATAATATCGTGCGGGTACTCACTCCAGGACATACGTTGGGTATATCGGATTCGAGTCTGGTTAGGTAAGAATGAAGTCGACTGCAATATCCAGATCTTAATTGTGCCAGCCGTCTCTACGCACCCGGATTTTATCCGCCCAAGGGCTGTCACCCTTTCGCCTACCTAACCACAGGTCAGGTGATACTAGTTCGGTCCATTGTCTTCGTTCCCAGTGCTCAAAATAGTGTAGCTTGATATTATCGGCTGTCATTAAAGGAGTCCAAAGAAGATAGCTCCAAACAGAATTACAGAGTTGAAGAGCGTGCAACAATTGGATAGTTTCGCTTAGTCCATGTTGTAGAAGCAATCACTTAAGGAGATTTGTTAAATCGTATCTTTGCAGGCTCCCTAATACGCACACAGTCCCTAGCTGATGAGGATGAGCAAATGCATAATCAAAAGCGTAAACGATCATATACGACGGATACGAAAACGGGCGCTAATCAGACGAGGCACTACAGTGATCCTCTGTCACCAACTATGGAGAACACTCTACGGACCAAACGTTTTCGTATACAAGGGCGTAAGCCAATAGATCGAATGCGTAGAGAATTTTAAATTTTAAAACGATTTTATTTTCATATTTGTAAGGTACACGTATTTAATGTTCGATCAATTATTATACTACATTCTTGTATTTAATGATATTTCCCTTAAATTCCTAACCTCTAACTTTTTAAGTCGCCAAAGAAAAAGTTTCAAATATTAAGTTGATTTTAAAAATGAGGAACTAATTTAGTTTAGTGCACGAAAAGAAGACTGTATTTTTTTTGTAAATTAAAATTATCATTGCATCTTGTCGCAAATGAAGGAAGAAGAAAAATGCCTGTTTTTTACATACATACATATAACCTTTTATTATTATTTAAGAAAATAAACCTTTTACTTCTTGCAAATACACATCGTCCTTACATACAATAACTTTATTACACAAATAAGTATGTAACTAACTATTTTAAATATAATTTTCATACAAGCTGAAGCTATCGCCAACCCCATACTATATACCACGTCGTACTGGTTTCGGTGCGAAGAGTATTTTAGCCGGCTTGCACAACTCCAGCTCGGTGCCCGGTCGCACAGATAGACACAGTGTGATATCCACCGAGGAAGCCTCTGTCCAAACGCTGTGTGAGAGCAAAATGGTGGTGCGCAAACGCATGCTCGTCTCATGCTCACCCTGCTCGGTCATAATCTTTTTAAAGTCGGAGAGTTTCGGCACCACCGTATGAACATGCTGATCGGGATATTTGATTTTAATGCGCATTTCTCGCTTTTGTGTTTCCTGCAAGTTGTCGAATTCGGCCACAAAAGGTAATGCTGCAATCAGGCCGGCTGTCACTTTAATAACATTGTCCTGTGCCATTTGTGCGCAGGGCTCAATAATGCGTGCCACACACATACGTATATTGATATTTGCCGGTGGCATACGTACAGGTGAAGCGCTTTGTACCAATGGCAATATTTCACGAAATACGCGACCCGGCTTAGGATCGGATATATTGCCCAGTAGCGAAAGCAAAGAAGTTGTGAATGGATCTGGTTGAAAGTCCTCCTTCTCATCGAGGAAGTTGCTAATATCTGCAGCTGTCTGCAGTAGCATCTGACATGGACCGAGCGCACTCTGTGAACGGTCGCGTACGATTAAGACCAGGTGGAGAGCGCAGGCGCGTAAACAGATTTGTTTAACCAGCAACATATCGCCGTAGGTGAGACCCGAGAAGATGTGTTGTAACTTCAAGCAATTACGTATAAGTTGCGCCAAGGACTCTTTAAGTGGCGCCCGGCTACGCTGCGTTGTTGTGCAGCTTTGCAATTGGTCCAATTGTATTTGCGCTGCCAAGAATGTTTCCAAAAAGTTAGCCGTACCAAACATTTCCGGGTCAATTTCACCCAAACGCTTCAAATTGCTCTGGGCCGTTTTCAATAGTGGAACGCGCTCGCGTACTACATTAAAAATTTCGTGTATATGCTGAAGAATTGTATTCAAATATTCGCGAGAAGTCTCAGCGCCTTTCAGTGGATTTATAGGTTTAGTGGTAGACGCACCTTCGATGGGTAGCTGTGGCACTATTTGCGGCATTGCATCTCGCAGATAGGCGTAATGCTTTAGCGTGACATCGGGAAACAAACTGATCAAAGGCACCAAATGCTCTGCGGCATTGAAGAGTAGAATCAATATACAAAGATAAGCGGGATCTTCAACATCACGTTCGGCGCTATCGAAAAATGGATGATCTTGCAAAAGATGTGAAGTGACAGCCATACAGAGATTCGGATGCTTCTGACCGATTTTGCGCATACAACCAAAAGTTGAATTTTTATCTTGCGGATACTTGGAAAGCACATCTAGTAATTTTTGTACCACCATTAGAAGGCAGGCCTAGAAAGAGAACATATATGATTTTACATTTAATATATTTTAAATTGAAAATATATATATACACTTTCACTCACCTGTGTTGAAACACGGCACGCACCCAACATCAAGTGCAAACCCTCACGCACATCAACCGAGTAGTCTTCTAATGAGCTCAGCATTATTTCCAGCTGATCTTCACGTAAGACTATGTGTCGTGCAATGGCTGTGAGGCTATAAATGGCCTTCAAGCGCACATCTTCAATTTCATCATTGAACATATCCACTAGAAAATCTAAGCAAGTCACCGCGAAATCCGGATTACTTAAAGCCAATTTGCACATAGAGTCTACAGCTGCTGTACGCACTTCTAAAAATTCATCTTCCAAGCCATGCACCAGCGCTCCGCAAGCACCACTTGCCACCAACGAGATAGATTTGGAGTCGAGTCGCTCTTGTGGTGCATCATCGGCCCAACGTTTGCCAGTAGACCATTCGCCACTTGCGACCAGTTGTGCGCCCCGCTCATGTGCTGTTTTCTTTCGCCGCAAATTACTCATCAACTTTTTATCTAGCGTTTGATGAAGAAACTCGGAACTCACTTGTGTCATAAGACCTAAGTGCTCAGCCGCCTATATATAATATAGCCTTAGTTTTAGATTCTAAATACAGTGGCTTATAAAATAAATAAGTACATACTTGCGTCCGTATTTGTATGGAGAGATCACAAAGTGCTCCACACACTTTACCAAATGCGGCATCAATCAAACGCGTCTCCTCTTCATCATCTCCACTAGATGTTACATGATCCGGATGACTTATGCCAAGTTGAAATACTAGTTGCAATGCTTCCTTTCGTACACACTCATAATCGTCTTTCATAGCTTCTACGGCTCTATGATACAAGTTCGGCGATAATGTAGCGCCACGTTCGCCTAGACATAGTATGGAGCGTAAAGCCTGGGCACGTACACCTGAATCCTGCGAATCCGCGTAATGTCCTATCAAATCCATAACACCTTTTCTGGCATCAATTAGTGTCACAAATGCAGACAATACCATTAATGCATATTTATGTGTATGATGTGAGTCAGAGGACAGCTGTTGTTGGGCGAAGTGTGCGATTTTCGTAACATGTGTTGATGGCAATAGTTTTAAATTTTTTATACCAATCTTATGCAAACTGTACAACCCTTGTGCAATGACTTTTTGCGAACGTTCTTGTTTTAAAACGGCAATAATACCATCCACTAATGCATTAACTACTTCGGGTGCACGTACATCAGCAAAATCTGCCAGCAGTCCCAAAATTTTCACACGGACAGTAGTATCGCCATCACGTTCTTGACGAAATATATCCACCAAACGGTGTATAACATCTTGTGCTTCGGTTATTTGTGCATTTTCTAATACGAGTTCATCCGCTATTTTTACCAACACTTCCAACAACTCTTTACTACCTTGTGCACCATGGCCGGCCGGAACTGCATCCAACGAAGCTAATATTTGCAAGAACTGGCTGCCTGTGTTATTTTTGACACTTGTTTGGATCCGTATTTTTTTCGTAGGCTTTTGAGAAACCTCTATAGTTTCCGTAACAGAATGCGGCCTTTTCACCGCGGTGGCCATTTCGTTATTAATTTACGTTTCAATTGCTTTGCGCTTAAATTATTATCAAAACAAACTAAAACTTCCAAAGTTCTTCTTCTTTTTGAAGGGAAAATTCACAATAACAGCAATGAAAAATCTATTCATTTATCAATATTTGTATATCGATTATAAATAATGCTAACAATTCGATATATGGCTTATGGTGAATGTGATAAGTAAACTTTACATTAAATTACACAGTTCGAAATTTGCCTTTTCATCGCTGTGCAAATATCAAGGAGCCGCTACTACTACAACAACAGTTAATGACTATCTCAACGCAGATTCTAACAAACTTCGTTTCTTACCTATCATAAAAATCTACGACCACCAACAATGATGACAATACAACAGTATGGATATTTTTATATGTTATCAGCTTTATTTCAAGTTTTTATAATTTAGATAAAGCAAATATAAGCGTCCGAGAAATATATGTATTATAATGCTTCAAAAGTTATGTAAAATTATTAATTATCAAATGTATTTAACTAAAACAATACATACGTATATGACTTTTGTCACAATTAATGACAATCTTATGTGATAAAATTGAAGCCTGTTTAAAATTTCACATATTTTAATTAAACTTCAAAAAATATTTCTTGTTTTAATCAACACATCCTACTTCTTATATACGTTAATGAAATTATTAATTAATTGTCATTGCATTTTTAATCTTTCCTGCGTTTCTTCTCTGAATTACTACGATCACTCTTATCTTCTGAACGCTTTGGTGCTTTCTTGGCCATATTCAAGAACTGATCCAAACCAAATGGATCCTCCTCTTTTTCAAACTGAACTGGGCCAGAACGTTGAGCTGCACCACCAGCACCACGCGATGTACCGGAAAATTCTTTATCAGGTACGAAGCGTTGTGTATTCACTATACGATCTAAATCTGCTCCATATGCATCATTGTCTAGCTGTTTGCTTGGACGATACAAGTGAGATGCCAATGAATTGGAATCACGCCAGGGTTTGTCATACACATTGTAGGCCTCATCGTCACCGTATCCTGAGTCCATACCCTTTGTTGTGTTGAATAATCGTTGATCAAACATGGTTTCTCCGTTACCCGTTGATTTCGCTGGCATACCCAGTGCTATTTGTTCAGATATATCACGCTCACGTTCGCGTTGTAATTTGGAACGCTTTTCTGGTGCGGCACGAGCTAAATTTCTATCGCGTTGTCGCTCGCGATGACGCTCAGCCCTAAGCTCATTACGCTCACGCGTCTCAGGATTTGCTGCAGCTGGATCTTCAGGTTGTCTCAAGCCTGCTCGCTCTTCACGCGCACGCTGTGCCATCATTCTTAACATGTCTTCCTTCTTTTCCTTCTCTTTTTGTGCTAATTTCTTCTCTAGTGTAGCACGCGCTTCAACCGCTTCTCGAGCTTTACGATCTGCTATGTACAAGGCTTCGGCCATTTTTGCAAATTTTTCACTTATATGCACTTGTTGTAAGCCACGACCATCAGCAGCCAATCGCTTATCCAATGGAATAGTGTAGCCCTTTGCGTTTTTCCAATTTGATATGCATGGCGGTATTTTCCATTCTTTTTGCTCTTTGACCGTCACTTTGCGGGATGGGGAGTGCAAAACCGGTGCTGGAGGTGATGGGGGACCTCGAGGTATTTTTTTGTTTATACGAAATTTTGGTGGTTCCATTGGGTCCTGTTGTGCCTCAACCATACGGATAACACGTTGTTTCGCTCCAGAGTTGAAGGCATCACCTTGCTGCGAGGGCGTGTAACGTATATATTGGGCTGGTGCTGTTTTTTCAGCATGTCGTACTGGCATAGCAGCCGCAATTTTGGCGTTAGTCAATTTTTCCAGAGCGCGCCTGGTGTCTTCTGTCGTATCGGCAACAGTCTCAGCATCAGGACGTTGCAACTCTTCAGCATCTTCAGCCAAAACTTCAGCAGGAAGTAATTGTGATATTGAAGAATACACTATCTTATCTTTACCATGACCTTGACGCGCAATAGCATCATACTTGATTTTTCCTTTCTCATCTAAGCGTACAGCTAAAGCATTCGATTTTTTATTCAGATTAGATGGACTACCCATGCCCAGCGGATATTGCGCAACATGAATTTCTGGGAATGCTCCACCATCTCCAAAATCTGCTTCCGTACGTGGAATCCAATCTTTACGTTGGCCGTACGGTGGCGCAGCAATTTTTGCTGACACCAATGCGCCCATAGGTGCACCGATAATTTTTGATTTTTTAGACACACGACGTTCATCTTCTCTGTCCCATACAGGATTCGCAGGCGAAGGTAAAATACTGGATAAAGACATTTCACCAACTTAAGCACACCGATTGTAAATTGACAAATTTAACAATGATAGAATAATAAATATGCGAATGATATACCACGCTTGATAAACCCAAACGGTCAAATAAATGATTGAACGAATATTTATATATGTGTGCGTCAAAGTTCACTCACTAGTTTTAGAGCTGCCATGTAATAACTATTTATACTTAAACTAAATTACATGGTTGTATTCGTGAGGTTTCCGAACCCTCTTCCCTTTATTTTACACATACTTTTTTAGAAGGTCATATAAAAATAAAACGATTTTGAGTCATTCACATAAAGCGTGAACATGAATTGTCCGGACAAACAAAAGAAAAAAATTAGTGTTTATGATTTTCACTCATTTTATTATTTAATTTTAATAGAACAAGAAAAGGATATAAATTTATTTTTTCGATTTGGTTATTTTTTTAGCTATTCATAATTCATAGGTTAACGGACAGATCTGAATTAAATATAACTTTACGTTAACTAAACACTGCGTAAATTGCCACAAAAACTTAGTTACGTATATTTGACAGATTAAATAAGAAGCAAATTTCTTAAAGCTTCAATGCAAATTATAAGCTGTATAAAAACACTCTGAAACTTTTGTAATAAATAATTTTGTAATCTAAGTAAGTGAGGAGCTGAAGAATTTACGTGTGGGAAGACATGCCTATAGTAAGAGGCGACTAAAATCCAATAGCTCTCGCGACCGTCGTGCCTTTTTACCGGAACAACCCGGATTTTTATCCGGCCAAAGACTCCCGCAACATTCCCCAAAAAGTACTCTGAGGATTATTTTTGCGGTTACAACAACCACAACAATAAATAAATATGAGACTTAAGTTATTTGACTATGCTCATTTACACTTAAATCACATTCTTTACATCATATAATGTATACATATCATTAAATTATATTATTATTATTATTATTATTATTATTTAACTTCTGTCCTATCTCACGCTCAGTTACATGATGATCCAATTAGATTAATGCTTTGATTTGGTCATCATCAACTTCATTTGGCCGACCTGAACGTGGCTCATCTTTAAGTGAAAAATCTCCAGAACGGAATTTGCGAAACCAATTTTGACACTGTCTTCCTTTTAAGGCTTCATCACCATACACATCTCGTAACTTTTTAGCAACCTGCTCCGCGTTTTTTCCTTTACGGAAATAATAATGTAAAATATGACGAAAATGCTCATTTGTGGGCTCCATATTAAAATTGACGCCAAACAACCAAATGTAAACTAAATTTCGCGCACTTTTTTTCCAAAGCAAGCTAAAAGTAACAGCTGATAAATGACAGATGAAAGAATGCAATTGCAGAGTCACAAGCCGTTGAAAAAATTTGTCAACGCCGACTATATGAAAAATCCGCAATTACTTTTTGGGCAACCCAATATTATTATGATTATTATTTTTATAAAATGGAATGGTTAAATAATTAATTTCTCAGAAAATGTTAATATAAATCAATTGCACAATATATTTCAAATTTTTATCCACAATAACCCACTGCGCACTTTGCCATTGCTTCGATTTTTTAAACACGAATTTTTCCCTAAATAGGGATTATCGATTTGCCCAAAAGGTTTTTAGCATATAAAAAAGTATAATTTGTATAATTACTATCCCTTCACTAGTATTTTGAAAATTTTAAACATTTTTGACATTATTTACTCATGCCATTCGTATTACATAACAGCAAATTTTAGAGTTGAACATTAAACTATTCAAAACGTTTTAATTATGATTATAATTATTTTTTTTTTTTAATTTTAATGCAAGGCTTTAAAGTTTTATAGTCGAAATGTGATGCTGTTTCATAGATAAAATTACGTCAATTTATATTAAAATTTTCGGCAACCAATAAAATTGAATCTATTTCGTCATTAAAAATATGATTTCGCTCTTGTCGTAACCTTCTATTCTATAAACCTTTGGATTATACAGCAATTAAATAAATTTTTTTTGGCAAATTTTATAATTAGTTTTATTTTTTTTTACGTTTCGTGAGGCCTACGGCTAAATAATAGTAATAAATAATTCGAGCGCTAACAATGTAAATCCAATGACGTGGTAATATGCCCTTATAGATATGTATGTATGTATTTTTCATACACGCAATGAATTTTATAATTTTTCGAAGCTTGTATTTTAATATATTTTGCCATATTATAAAAATATTTTCATGCTAGTTTGCGAATAAAAAATAATTCAATGGGAAATTATGACAACAATGTTATTTCTTTAATGTCTACTATATATACAAATGTACATGATACAAATTTACATGCATTCATAGTTTTGTATAAATAAATTTACATACATGCTTTGCCAGTCAACAGTTGTTTGTGTTTGTGTGCGATGTTATGTGTGTACTTTGCCAACGGCCACACATCTGCCCCTTTAGCTCAGTGGTAGAGCACTGGTCTCGTAAACCAGGGGTCGTGAGTTCAAACCTCACAGGGGGCAATCGGGAACTTTCGAAAAGTTTCAGCCCAGTTTTTTATTTAAATTTTATAAATAAATTTATTTATTTATTTATATAAGTTAATTTTAGATTTTATTACAATAAAAAAATAAGACGCTTAATTTTAGTATTCTACTCATTACTTAAGTTGCAGTGCATGAAATTTATTATTTGCTCATACATATGAAAATGTTATAATTTGATGATTGATAATAAATTGTATGCTCAGCATATTCTGTCGCTGTGTAGTAAGCTCAGCGCAGAGATTTTGGTAGCTTTTGTTTCATTTTTCTCCCCATCGTTATGTTCTTCAAAAAAAAATTACGTTTGATAAAAACAAAATGTAGGGTAGTATAAAAAAGTACTAAAACAGAGTTGCTTCTGTGGCAGAATTTCACTAGTAATTGTTTATAACTAACTGAAAGGCATCCGCATTGTTGAACTTTCAAGTTCATTAACAACGAAATATGGTTTTAGTGTAAAAGTCAGCTACGTTAATGATGAGTTGCTAGTTACGTATCCTAAAATAACAATTAAGTGTGCATTTGTTTGTGACAGTTGCGCTTTAAAGCAACCATGTAAATAGTTTTATTCTTCTTCTTCTACTACGTAGTGATAAATGCAAATTCTGTCACTTCTTTACTGAATTTTGTTAATTTAGCATATCTGCTAAGAGTGTATAAAGTTCATTTCTCTTTGAAATAATTTATCTATATACAGAAAAACGCAATATAAAATAATATTTGCAGTAAATTATAAACGGATGGTCAGTGAAATTTATAAATTATATATAAATAGCGGACAGAAAAGAATTGAAGGAGTATAAAAGATGCCTATGGAATAAAAGCAAAAGTAGTTTTGCGGACAGAAGAAAGCAAGAAAACAACATAAATTATTGAACGAAAGGTGGAAGGAAAGATTTTGGGTGCTTAGTGTGTCTGTTTCTTGTTGCGTAGTGAATCAGCTAGAAAATTTTGCCTTTGTGCTGACTTTTAGGTAATTTCGCAAAAATAAGCAATGAAGTCATTTAACGTTAAACATACCAAAATTTAACTCTAAATATTTCGAATAATTTCATGCTCATATTGAAATTTGCAGGCTTATTGATCTATACAACCACCAGCGAGAACCACCCTGTGTGCGTGCATATATATTAAAAAAAAAAAATACAAATGTATAAGAAGAATAGGTAATCGCTGAAAACGGGAAACATGGTTCGGTTTTGCTTGACTTTTGTATGAAGTAAGCAGATTCAGATTCAATAGCAGCAAATGAAGAAGAATATTGCAAGCAAGCAGGCAAAAGAATTTAGAATATATTCATCACCAAATTATAAATCTCAGGTGCTGAGATTGACAATTGATGGTAACAGCAGCACTTAGAAACAATACTATTCAGTGTATAAGAACTTTGTGAAAAAAGACCAATGACTAAAATTGTGTAATTGGAGTGTATTTTATTTTAAAAACTATTACTTTTATATAAAACTACCATTTGCGTGGTAATTAATTGTTTTGCATACTGCCGCTATAATAAAATTAAGTTTGTAGGATAGACAAAAAAATAAAACACAGCTAAACCAAAGGTACACTCAATAAAACCTACGCATATAGAAGATAAAGTAGAAAAAATGCAACAAGATTGTAGTGAAGAAAGTTGGCTGGAAGAGCAATGTCATCGGGAGATCAACGCCCAACACGACGAGCACGAACGCGACTATGCAAGGCATCGTGATAGTGCCTTAAGTAATGTATGGGGTGCATTTCAGGATTCGGCCACTGCAGTAGCACATCTTTACAGAGGTGAGTTATAACTCCATACATTATAGCATAACATGTGCTACAAAAAATATACTCTGAATGTATTGCACGTATGTAAACTTCATATACCACAAATCGAATCCTCACATGAAGTTTCCTCATTACCCTTACAATAAATTGGTAAAAGCTTATACGTATGTAAATGCACTCGTATATGTATGTATGTAGGTAAAAAAGTCAATATCGAGTCATACATGTGCATGCGAAACATTAAGACATTAGTTACCATTGCAGGAGTCACCTTTAGTGATGAAATGATACTCTTATGTGACCTTTATATGATTAGATCGCTTCTTCTTACGTTGGCATTCTCTTTTTACCTTTTATTTGTATATTTATTTGTAATTATAGTTTTTTGTTTGGAATGATAAGTTTCGTCTTTAAAAGTCTTATATAACCCCACTTTTAGAGGAATAAATAATTTGTTGAAATGTCAGTGCGTTAACTAAAGTTCATTGATGAGAGCATCAAGATTAATTAATTGAATTAAATCAATTTCAAAATTATCCTTTTGATGTAATTACATATCAAGTGATGAAAATTCACATTTCGTAGCAACTGAAAATACAAAAATAAACCAATTAGGAGTTTATATATATCCTTTTGCATTAGATTTTATTGCTTTACAATTTTTTTTTTTTAAATTGCTTGAAACATTTCTGCGACTAGTGGCACATATGTATATAGTACATACATACATACATATATCCGTCATGTGAAATCAAATAAATTCAAATACATACGCACATAGGTACATATGTATGCATGCTTGTGTGTGAATAAACATTCTATTGCACATTACGTTTTACAATATTACAATCTCTTCGAAAACAGCTGTTTGAAGGGTCGTCGAACGCCTCAACACCACACCAAAAATGCATTAAGTTCATAGGGTTGGTTTTCATGTGTTTAATGTTCACTTGTAGGTATCTGGAAATATTGGTTTCAAGAGTTGGTGTACTTGGATTTATGTGTAGTGTTCTATTAAATTTCTTTTGTTCTACTGCAATCTACGTCTTTCATGTGGAATACGCATACATATATGGGCACATATGAATTTATGTATGTATTTCTATACAAATTTAGGTAAAGGGCATATAAATGTGGTTCCTTTATACATCTTTTTTTTCATTATGAATGATTTTTTTTTAAAGAACCATTAATCAAATGCATACAGATGTATGTACATATGTATAAATGTTTGCGAACACTTGTGTATTTGTTGAATGTGCTTTTACATATTGATATACATATATGTTTCTAACAATCTCTAGGAAAAAAAATATATTTGAATGTCTGTTAATAAGTTTTCGCCGACTGTGCCTTTTGCTAAAGTTCCTATTATCATCTTGATGAAAGTTACATTTATTGTACTCGTATGTCTATATATATTTTTCCTTTCTTACTATTTTAAAAGTGATTTAAAGTACCTACACTTCTTCCCCAAGAATTCTTTGTGTTACAAAACTAAATAAATCTGCATACATACGTATGTGTATATATAATCATATATATTTAAATGTGTTCGTTTATTTTCAGAACGCTCGTCAAATACGTATCCTGATACTGGCGCATTATGGCTTCCATTCCAAACAGCTGCGGGTACGGTAACAACGCTTTATAAAGGTAAACAAATCGAAATCTACGGCATTTATTTTAAACATTACTTCTATATTCACTTACTTTTATTCTGCTTTCACAAAAAAACAGAAGCATGCGATGGCGTTAAGCGTACCAGTGACTCAGCTGTGCAATGCGGTTATCAACGGCGTACACGGGAATTGGCTGACTGGGCAAGGAGTAAAAAACGTCGTATGATACGTCGGGAGGATCTTTTAGCCTATCTGGCTGGCAAGCCGCTAACAAATACAAATCGTCGGTGAGTCGCCGCTAAAGTGGCGAAATTAACAATAACAAACAAAACAAATCCAAAACACATCACATCACCAAACAATAACATAATCTACACAAGCTTAATAACAAATGAAAAAATAGTTTAAAGCCACTTGCTATAACATACTCTTGTGTATTTCTATTCCACAGTTCACCAAAGCCAGAACATTCGCACAATCACTCAAGCCCCAGTGCTGTGTTCAATAACAACGCTTCGCACCATGCCACACCGCCTCATGTTTGCAGTTCACACCATCATCACGCTCAGCATCAACATCATCAAGCTAGTGGTGGAGCTGCTGCTAATGAGCCAAACAATGACTTGCACACATTTAAGGAAGCTCTTGTCTTACGGCCACGGTATGGATGATTATTTACCAAAGTCCTTTCTTATAACGGTTTTTTAATAAAAACAAAAAATGTATTTCCTATTTTTAGTGGCCCCGAACTATTTGCATTTGTTGCCAACGAAATCGCCCGTCACTGTAAACGTCCAGCCAGTCCCATCGACGATAAAATGGACATCTGCCATTACAGCAGTAAACGTCAGCGTTTCATGTAGAATTTTTTTTTTTCATTTAACTTAACTTACAAAGATACATAGTTTTAAAGCAATTTACGCATTAAATAACCATTGAAATGGCAGTCATAAAGGATATATAAAAGCAAAAAAAAAAATTGAAAATTAAAAATTAAACGATAATTTAGAACATCTCAAGGAACTATAGAAACCTATTAAATTCACAATATTGAAAATATATTTGGTGCTTCTTGGCGGCAATATTGGCAAATAATGAAATTAAAATATGAAACAAAATAAAAAATAATATCTAAATGCGCGATATGCTCGTTTATATGCTGAACGTTACTTTGACACAATATATCCTCTTAACTAAAAAAAAGAAAAACATATGCGCTTGTCCAAGTATTTTACTTTTTTATTGTAAATTTGTTTATATCGCTATACTCCTTTAAAAAATTTTTTAAAATTTTTTTGTACACTTACGACACTTTAGAATGTTTTTCAATACCCAAAAAAAAAAACATTTTTTTGAATTGCATATAATTTATGAGTATTATTGGTACAATATTTTACATTTATTGTGTTGGAAAAATCGAAGTGATACGCGCATCAAAATTTGAATTTTATTGAAAAAGATACACACATATAATTTGCTGCTTATAATTATTCACAAACAATTATTCGATCACAAAGTAAAGTGATTTGTTTTAAGCATAGTCACTAAAATACGCTATTTCAATAACAATCATATTCATCTGAAGTAAATGGCTTATCTAATCATTTATGTAAGCTTAGATATTTTATTGAAGTTTATGTACGAGTACATGGAAAATTGAAAAGTTAAGAAAGTAAAATGTGATGTAAATTATGCACACAAGTATTTAGAATTTAGTTTGAGGTTTGTTAAAAAATTGTCTACTATTTAGTTATATATATGTACTTGTACTAAGTGCTATTATTTAAGCGTTGGGATATTTATATCAACAAAAAAAAAGGAAAAAGAAGAAAGTCCTCGTATTCATATGCTATTGAAATATGTACGTTGTAAGCGTATATAATTGTATAATTTAAATGATATGCGTACATACATAGGAATGCATGCGCGATGTATAAGCATAAAATAACAACTTTGTGAAGAGAAATAATACATCTAATGGAAACTAATAATTGAATTGTCATTTTATTTATTGCGTTAAATATCTTTAGGTTCCTTCTAAGTGACAATTGTCGTTTATTTTGAACTTAAAAAAAATTGAAATTTTACTAATATTTATTTTTATTAAGCAACATATACAACTGGTTGCAAATATTCCCGGAGAGTTAATTTCTCTGTATTTATAGGCGAAATTTTATGCCACATATGTATTTACCGGCATAGAGAAAGGGTTCTAGCATAAAAACAGTTTGTGCATATTTAACATTTGTATTTTTTGAAAATCTAATTTTTTTAAATTAAAACTGAAATATATGCTCTAGTTTTAAAAGTTCCATAGGAAGTATGTGACTATGTTCTATACAGCATTCTGAATTGTTTCAAAGGGAAAATACGATGAAAAGAATTTTCTTGATTATTGATAAAACTCTCATCAATATTAATCTAGATATGTAGCCCTATTTTTTACATAGGTAAATTTTCTATTCGCAGACAGAAAATATTCCCGTATTTCGGCAGATTATCAATTTTTTTCTCTATCACTGAAAGAGGTTCGATACGCCGTGCTTCCTTTTTTTCATAAATTGCAGCATACTTTTAGGCGTTAACCGGTAATTTATTATCAACACACTTAACATTTAGTTCTCTGAATACAATTTCCATTTAAGAAGGAGTCGTATCAGATAATGATAATTATGGCGCTGCAACCTGAAAAAAGGGCTTATGGATTAGCTCGATCAGTAATATATACATAGCCCAACTGAAATGTAACTATTGCAGGTTCCTTAACGATCCGGTGCTACCTTGAACTTAGTGGGCAATATAAATATTTAAATTATATATTGAATCCAACGCAGAATCTCTTTACCTAGTGATTGAGCCAAAGACCACTGCGTTTGACTTTTATGTTATATGACACAAAGCCAGACGATGGAAGAATGACCTGCAAGAGATATACGACGACATAGATATAATTGGCGCTTTGGAACCGCTGTGGCGATTTTCGTCCAAGCTCCTTCTACAATTTGTGGTGTAAATCTACATGTTTCTCTAATGATTGGAGGGAGGATTTATACTCAACCGCTTGCGAACGGCCGTTGGTTCTTTATGTGGCGCCTTTCCCTGCCGAGTGGTGACCACACTTCGAAGAATTCAATTAATTTTTACTTAAATTTTTTTTTTAAACAATAAAAAATATTTCGACAAGCCCTTGGGAGACTTATAGATCTGCTGGCCATAGTAATTTAGGTAAACTCCGAAATTGTGTTCATATAAGGCTCGTAAAACTAATCTACCGTTGTAAGAATATGACTCTAAGTTCTATCGAAAGCTTGAAAAATATCAATGAGAAAAGCCTTTAACCTATTAGGTGGTAAGAGAAGCAACATTTTGCTTAATCCATTAAACTTAATTAAGCCTAGATAATGCGAGTCGCATTAATCAGCTCGAGCTCTTTGCCTGAAATGGGTCGAGCATGAACTAAAATGACGTAAGTTGGTGAAGCATTTGATATATGACTTATGGTCGAAATATTTAATTTCTGTAACATTGATTTACATAGCAAATGCTTTCGAAAAGTCGAAGCCTACTGCTGTTGTTCCTAATTTATACTGTTGTGATTTAAGACTTGGATATCCAGTAATGAGAACACAATTGTTTACAAATGCAGATAACAGATAAATTCCATCAAAGGAAAGATTTCTGGATTTCCAATACTTTACCCATTCTGTCTGCTAATGCTTGCTCGCAAGTTGTCAAAGATAGGCTTCATAAAATGGTGGAATTTTGCGTCGGCCAAGCGATCAACTACCGATTGCTTTAGTAAAATAGTAATGTTATTGATACTCTATATATATTTATACAAAAGTATTTTCATATCGTCATATTTTTGTGTTCCTGATATATTTTTTTAACAGAATGAAATACGTAAGTATATGGAAATAATCGAAAAAAAGTTTACTACAAAGCTACAGTTCACAAACTATAAGCAATTTACTAGAAATATATTAATGTGAACATATATATACTCATGCATACGTAAACATATTGAACTTTATATCTTAACTATTGCAGCATCAACTTCGTACTTAGCATAGCCATTTCCGGTAAGTATCATCCATAAGATGATCAGTGAATTTATCTATGGGACCAATTATGAGTGGAATTGAACACAGGCCGATTGCGGTGGGCATAATTTTTCTAAGAGCTTTTTTAACATCTGCTTTGCGTAATAAATATCCAGTTAGCCAAGTTATTCTTTAAAGAAAATAAACTCGGTCATATTGGATTTAATACGTTCTGAAATATATACATACCTATTGATTGTGACTCCTGGAATAATTACGGAGGCAACCATTTGCCAAGTGAATACATCGCCAGTAACAATAGCTATCTGCTTAGCACTGCTGCCACGTTGATGCTCTCTAACCGATTTGTCAATAGCGTCAGCACACACATATGCAGTAGCCATTAAATAGGACGCGCGCACCACATTGCGATGTATAAGCGGACGGAAAGCTTCACCCACTTCATTGGAATAGCCTATATGTGATATAAATTATTTTTTAAAGTGTTCTGTTGCGTTAACATTTTTAAAAATATTTGTGGATAACGTGTTTGGTAAATATACACATTGATCATTTTATTAAAAATTGAGAATTATATCTAAAGACTTACCCAAATATCTTAACTTGCTGTCCCTGTACAAGTCATATTCTTTACTCATTTTTACAAATTGATGCTATAGATGACTTTATTTTACAGCTAAAAATGGTACAGGAGATTGTTATATAAGAACTTAAAGACTTATGCGCAAGTGAGAACTTACTTGAGTCTGCTAATGGCAATTAGATTCACTTGTCACCGATGCATCAACTTTTCAAAGTCGCATTCTTTTCACATGTTATTTGTTCGTACCCATATCTTTGTTACATCCACACAACACTTTTGCTTTTAATTTATCATCAAATTCAATTGTTTGCAAAGCTTTGCCCAGCAATGTTTTTCAACTCTTTTTTTTAATTATTTTCTTTTTTTTTTTGGTTAGCGAGCAAAATAAATCCGAACAGTGTGAGCAAAACAAAAAGACCAAAAGTCCAAAGTGGCCAGAAGGTTTCAATAAAAAATTGTTTATTACCTTATTCTCACGAGACTAACTGTAATCGATTCGAATATTAGGGTTTAAAGGGGAACTTTTAAGGATTTGAGATAACTAGGTTATACAGTTTCGTCAACTGACCTGTCCTCAGTAAGGAAAATTCGATTTTCTCGCTATGGAACATTTTACTACTATCCGGCACTGCCCTCCACCTAAGTCTGATCATCTTCTTCAGTTACACGTTTTCTAAATGCCTGCAAGTCTCTTCAAGGGAAGCTCCTTCATCTCGTTTCCTTGTCTTCCAATGAACTGAACTCTATACCAAGTAGTTAGTCATATGATAACCTTAAGCGAACCTTCCTAGTTGCTTTGCAATTTCGGTACAAACCTTTATTAAATTTAAGTTCAAAATCAACTTTACTTCTCCTTAAAATTCTTCGGAGTACACCATATCATATCGGGCTTTTATCTTTTCACTCATGTCTTGAGTGTGTTGCTCAACAGGCCCGTGCACTTCTCTCAGCTGCTTCTTCCAGACGCCAGACGTCAGACGTCCCACCCTACCATTTCTTTCGATATCACAGTTATACTCTTTTAACTGGAGTAGTAGCAATGACACTCGGCAGACATAACATTAACATATTTTTCCTTTTTTTGCTTATTATCGACCAGTAATACTTTCTTACCGCAATACGAAGGATAACAACTAAACCTTGAGCTCAACAATTGCGGTTCTACCATTTTCGCCCTAAATGTTTATTTTCAAGTTTTTGAAATGTGCTGTAATACAACCGTGTTAGAAAGCACAAAACGCTAAGGCAACCCATTTACGAAAGATGGGGATGCGATAGATGTCAAAATGCGCGATAATTTATAAAGAAAAGTGTGAAACAAGTAAAGTCGGATTAAAGGCATCTTTTGTGTAAATTTTATAATAATTGATCATTTTGCATAAACCCAGCCAGTAATTTGATTAATTCCTCTTTGGATCGCCTTATTTGTGAATACTGTACAAAGGTATAATAAAACTAAGTGGAAAATTATAAAATTTGCTCACATTCTACACTTACAATGAAAATGACCTGCAGTGTATGCAGTAGAATGCAAATATATTTTGGTAACGCGGATTAGTCATTGCCTCAGTTTAGTGTTGATTTATCGAATTAAAAATTACACATAATTTCTTTATCTTTTTGGGAAAAATTTACTGAACGAACATTAAACATTTCAAAATAAATTGTAATAAATATTTTCTTTTGCATTGTTTTGTTTGTTTGTTTAAATTATAGTAGCGACTATCTCGTTAATGATGTCATTTGTATGAATGACAACTGAGAGAAGGACTTCTACTGGAAAATAATATATGCGTGGAAGTGTATAATATATTGCTATTTTATTGTTTTGCGTATTTTTATAGAGACGTGTCGAATATGGCATCCGGTACCACTTTGCAAAAGGCTATTGATTTAGTGACCAAAGCCACGGAAGAAGATCGTAATAAAAATTATGCTGAAGCGTTGCGACTTTATGAACATGGCGTTGAATATTTTCTTCATGCCATTAAGTGTGAGTATATTTGAATATACGGAATAAAGCTTGAAGTTGATTTGAAAATATTGTTTACTTGTACAGATGAGGCGCAAGGTGAGAAAGCCAAGGACTCAATACGCGCCAAGTGTCTGCAATATTTAGATCGAGCTGAAAAGCTCAAAGAATATTTGAAGAAAGGCAAGAAGAAGCCAGTTAAGGAAGGTGAATCAAGCTCGAAGTAAGATACAAATATTTTTTCTCTTCAGCATATAAAAACACACACAATCATATTATAGAGACGACAAAGACAAAAAAGATGACAGTGACTCCGATGGCGAAGATCCTGAAAAGAAGAAATTGCAAAGTAAATTAGAAGGCGCAATCGTTATTGAAAAGCCACATGTAAAATGGTCCGATGTAGCTGGTTTAGATGCGGCTAAAGAAGCTCTGAAAGAAGCTGTAATTTTGCCAATTAAATTTCCGCATCTTTTTACCGGCAAACGTATTCCGTGGAAGGGTATCTTGCTATTTGGCCCACCTGGTACCGGCAAATCATATCTTGCCAAAGCTGTTGCTACAGAAGCGAACAATTCAACATTCTTTTCTGTGTCCAGTTCTGATTTGATGTCGAAATGGTTAGGCGAGTCTGAAAAGTTGGTAAAGAATCTCTTCGAATTGGCACGACAACATAAACCATCAATTATATTTATCGATGAAATCGATTCGATGTGTTCCGCACGTTCGGACAATGAGAATGACAGTGTGCGTCGCATTAAAACCGAGTTTTTGGTGCAAATGCAAGGTGTGGGAAACGATACAGATGGTATTTTAGTACTAGGCGCAACTAATATACCTTGGGTGTTGGATTCAGCTATTCGGCGACGTTTCGAAAAACGCATCTACATTCCGTTACCGGAAGCACATGCACGTCTGGTTATGTTTAAGATACATTTAGGCAATACTACTCACGTACTAACCGAGGCTGACCTAAAAGAGCTTGCTTCGAAAACGGATGGGTAAAAAATAAATGAACATGTGTTCGCTTGTATTATAAAAATATCACTTATACCAATTACAGTTACTCAGGCGCTGATATATCAATTGTTGTGCGCGATGCGCTTATGGAACCCGTGCGTAAAGTGCAAACCGCCACACATTTCAAGGTAATTATGACATATAATTTTTCCGCCTGATGTAGTAAAATTATTATAGTTCCTATAATATATTTGTAGCGTGTAACTGGTCCATCACCAACAAATAAAGAAATAATAGTTGACGACTTATTGGTGCCCTGTTCGCCTGGCGATGATGGCGCTACTGAAATGTCCTGGATGGACGTGCCTAGCGATAAACTATTTGAGCCTCCAGTAACAATGGTAAACTAAAGTAAAGCTCATGATGCTATAGATGTAAATATATTTATTTTTGTATTTAGCGCGACATGCTGAAGTCTTTGTCTCGTACAAAACCAACTGTTAACGACGATGATTTAGTTAAGCTGCGTAAATTTACCGAAGACTTTGGACAAGAGGGATAAAGAGAATACAAAATTCTAAAGAAAAATTATTTTATTATAAACATAAGTTAATACTGTATGCAAAATGAACGATTGTTGCCTATTTGATAAAAAAAAGGAGGAAAGAATATTTCATGCTCCAGGCTAAAATTATTTGAAAATAATTGGATAAATTCGACATATAATTTTCTCTGTTAAAAAGGATTTAAAACTATACACATTTTCGTGATAAAATTTAGTACTATACTTTTGTCTTTATGTACACATTGCATTTTATAATTCTATTCGGAATGACCATTGTATGGAACATACTCAAATATAGAAACAAATCCTACAAAATGCTGAAATTGCCTTGAAAGCAGAAATGGAATCTAGCGCTGGTAAACACTTAAGAAAGTCAGGTATTTTTTAGATAGAATGTGGCTAAGCCTATTGGCTAGTTGATTGGAAAAATTAATCAATACAACAATAATAACAAATATGTGTATGTAAAAAATTTAAATTCTCACGCTTTATTTCAGAAATAGTATACATAAAGCTATACCTATATAAACTTATTATTTAATTGTACTTTATTTTGCCAAAGCGGGTATATAGTAAATTTTTCAAGGTCACGAAAATTTCATTCATCCGGATTACTTTCAATAACAAGCATTGGACTTTTTATATCATAAAAGAGAATCATTTCCTACATGAAGAAAAAACGCATCAATTAATCTCCTGTACTTAACTGACTCAGCTTTTAAGCTCACCCGACACTTCTCCAGATTTAGCGTGCAAATGGCTTGCGTGGTCTCTTTGACCGAATTCACTTCCTCGCTATGCACCAACCGTACATGTGGATAATTATCTTCACCCGGCTCGATCGCAATGAGATTATCGCGTGCTAGGAAGGCAATTTGAAAGGCATTTTCAACGGTATTCATAAAATTCTTTGGATCAATAATGAGCTTGTAATATGGTATGGGTCGACCGGAATTATTGTTTAATAAACGACGCAATTGGCCGCCGACAATATTCAGTTTATTGGCACCCTTGTCCTTGCGCTGCAGTTTATCGACACGTTCGGGTTGTTTTTCTTCCGCCTAAGCAATGACACAATCGTTATTTTTAATATATACATATATAGACACATTTTTTTTCGATAACTTAATTCTTTTAACCTACCTGTTCCGCTTTCTTACGTTGCTGTCGCTCTTTCGCTATGCGTTCCTTCACTTCAACTTTATATGCACCAAGCATAGAGGATTTCGCACGTGCCATGCGCGCTATAGAGCATGCGATCTCCGTCAATGGTTTCCAATCATCTTCACCTTGTGTGGCTACGGCTTGACGCTGCGAATATGAAAACATTAGCGTACTCGTGAAATTTTACTTACTCGTACCTTTAGGCTACTCAACTTACGATAGCATTTTGATAGATTTGCTCACTGAAACTTCCCATCAGCGAACTCTGTTGGAATACCTTGGACATTAATTCGTGATTCATTTTGAGCAATTGAGCATCACGCATCACTTCGCTGGTGTGTTCAGCTCGATCGGTGATGTTGCCCTCGCCATGAATGATGTCGGAGCTTTTTACGACACTGGATAGTTGATTCAGTGTATCTTCGATACTTTGCTCTGCCAAACGTGTATCTGCGGAGCAGACGAGATGTACATAGATGTTAAATGATTTTTCCGTCGCCGTTTTCATTAAAAAGGACGCAATATGGTTCGCTATTCGAACGATGGCGAAAAAGGGTCAGCTGCGGACAGTTAAGTGATTTGTGTCAATGGAAGAAAATCAGTAAAGACAGAAAAGGGAGCGTAGTATGTTTGCTTCGTTAATTTATAAACCATTTAAAAAGTAATAAATCCAGAAAATCATAGGCATACTGTACGGAGTTGAGAAGTGGAAATTAAATTGGTTCTTAGGTAACTTGATTTAGAAGTTCCTTATATATAAGTATGTACATATGTACATATATTTTGTAAAGCTTAAACACGCAATATATCCTTCATAATGCATTCATACAAAAGGTTAATTTTGGGTTATTTTCCCTATTAATAGGAAAAAATGCGGAAGTTTGGGTTGAATACTAAAAAGTTTTTGATTTTAAAATTAGTTAAGCATAAGTTACTAAATTAGCAAAATATATTAAAATGAGTAATATAAAGTTCTATTCAAATACTATATACATACATACATGTGTGTAAATACACTATTTCTTCCCTATAAAAATGCCTTTGGCTTGTCTTACTTAATTTCATTCAGAAAATGTTCGATTTATTAAAAGGACGTGGCTACCGAGAATTAAACTCACGCGATGCACTGATTTACTTATTTAATATGCTCAGTTTTGTGGGCTTAAATCCAACAGCACATTGCCGGTTGCTGTATTATTTTTACGGAAGCATTATAACGTTGTTTGTTGTTGTGCTATCACCGTTGATATTTAATATTGGTTGGATACGTGACAGAAATGTACTTTCCATTATGGAGATATTAAATTGCGTACAAGCGGCTTTGAATGTCATCGGTGTACCCATTAAGAGTATAGCATTAATGTTGTGCTTAGATCGTATACATAGCGTAGAGCCGTTATTGTTGAAATTGGATGCGCATTACTCCAAATGGGATGATATGCTTCGAATCAGGCAATGTGCGATAATGGGTAATCGTTTGGTATTCAGTTACATCGTTCCTTATATGATGTATGAAACATTAACTGTTGTATCGGCAGTCTTAGGTGGCCATGCGCCACTTACACTCTGGTTGCCTTATGTGGATTGGCATAGATCGAGTAGGGAGTATTGGCTACAAGTCTGTTTTGATGCTATTACACTTTTCTACTTGCTATGCCATCAAATAATTAATGACTCCTACCCAGCTGTGTACATTTATATCGTACGTACGCATGTGCAGTTACTTGAGCGCCGTGTAAGTCGTTTAGGCTATGTGCCACAAAAGAGTGAACATGAAAATTGTCAGGAGCTACAGGAATGCATTGTCACTCATCAGGAAATACTAAGGTTTGTTTACACACTTTATACATATGTATTTAAATAAAAGGGTCTAATTTTATGTCTTCTAGATTGGTGCATACTATACAACCTATAATATCTATCACGATGTTTGTTCAATTTATTATTGCCGCAGCTATTATGAGTATAACTATGATAAACATATTTATTTTTGCTGATCTCGCTACACGCTTAGCTTCATTCGTTTATTTAATATGTGTGGTATTGCAAACTGCTCCCTCGTGCCACCAAGCATCCTACTTGCAGGGGGATTGTGAAAAACTTTCAAGTTCTATATTTCATTGCAACTGGATAGCGCAGGACAAACAATTCAAAAAACTATTAATTTATTTTTTGCAACGTTCACAGGCGGATATGCCACTAATTGCCTTAAAAATGTTGCCAATAAATTTAGCAACAAATGTGTCGGTAAGTTTTTTTGCCATGATTTTGAAGTGTAATATTATATGTTTATTTCATATTTACAAATTTATTTTTGCAGATCGCTAAGTTTTCGTTTAGTCTTTATACGTTTATTCAAAAGATGGGGCTTGGCGCACATTTGAATGATTAAAGATCAATACGTACTGTAAGAAATTGGAGTACATTGAATATTGAGCATATTATATTATAAACAAACAAAAATGTAGGTAATTGCACTAATGTACACAAATACGTATGCCATAAGATTTTATTTTAATTTTTGGTTTAATGATTGTATAACAATAAAGTTGTTTAATGAAATTATTGCGCATGTAAATCTCACACGAGCCTTATATTTTACCCGAAACAAAATTATGCGATATTTGTAGATTAAATATTTTGAGAAAGGTTTACAAAAAATAAAGAAAATACGTATACATTTCAAAAATTGGGCTCCTTTCAGTTTCATTGCGATTGTGCTATTAATTTTATAGCTGAGCCGCATTTCCTATTCTTAAGGCAAAGCTGTTGTGCATTTACATGTACATATGTATATGACAAATTTCACTTAATTTTCATTTTTACCCAAAAATATGATAACATTTTCGTCGAACTGTCGACAATTATTATTGTTATCATTTATTAGTTTACTCACGTATTTCTCTATTTATGTCAATTAATTCTCTCAAACGCTGCTTTCGCTCCAGCGGTTGTGAAACATTCAATCCATCACAAGTATTGTTCATTATAGTTTTTTTTATGAACTTCAATTGGAAAACTACAAAATAACACAAAAATTAAATTGTAAACAAAATAATAGTAGGGCGCGAATGAAAGTAAATAAATTGTTTAGCAAAATGACAGTGCTTCCAAGCAATGTAGGGTTTACAATGTGCAGTGCCTCCAAGTATTTCTTCGCTGTCAAATTGTTAATAGAAGCCAAAATGCTGTGCATAAAATGTAAATGTCTTTTAATAAAGCGATCACAACAATGACGATGTTTTTCTCTTACACTGCTTTCATTAGTACTATAATCAAATACTTTCAAAACTGGACCATTTTCGTCCATTCGGACGATATTTCCTAGCCAAGGTAGCCGGCTCCTTCGTTCTATGAAACATGCCAATGTCAAGTTACAATTCGTACAAAATTATCTTGACCTCGAAGCTATGTTGTTGTTATTGTTGTTGTTGTTGTAGCGGCTCGCTAACCCCGCTTAGGCACAGAATTGACTAGTCTAAGTCGCCGAGGTCATCTAATGGGAGGTCCAGGAAACGAGCTGTTTCGACGGGTTTGGACAAGAGGGAGAGGGGGTTTAGATGAGTTGGCTTGAGAGGGCATGTGAAGAGGTTGTTAGTGTCGTGCGGAGACTCTCCACATGCAGCCCGTTCTACGCACCGGAGATGATCCGGATAATATCCGGCCAAGGGCTTTCACCCTTTCGGCGACCTAACCTCGCTTAGGTCAACAGGTTATTTTAGTCTAAGTTAGCCAACGGAGCAACACCTTGCATCTGGGTTGCTCCAAATCCCTCTGATAAGTGCTGGTATCGAAACCAACCCTGGTCCGACGGACTATTTCTCCTGCGTGTGTCACAAAAGACTCCCCCACTCCTCCACCTTGGTTAAATGCAACCTGTGCAATGGTTAGAGTCACCTTAAGACCTGCTCAGGCCTTAAGACTCACAGTGAATGGACCACGAGTTATGTAGCCCCATGCTGCCAGCGTCCAACTGCCCGCCTAGCCTCCACGGCAGTGCCTTCACCTCCTTTACCCATTCAGGGTAATCAACAGACCTCCACGGTCTCACAGAGCTCCACGCAGCATGACTCCCTTCAACCTCCACCTCGAAGCTATGACTGTCTGCAGTGAAGTTGGAGCTGGGTCGCGAATGGGATGACTGTTTGTTTGATGACAGGAGATATTTCGTTTTGCCCTCCATACTACCAGAGCCATTCGTTTTGCTCAAGTGCGGAGAAAGCAGAACTAACGCCAGTAGTTGTACACTCTTGCAAAAGACTTTGTCTTGTCTATTTAGATCTTCAGCTCATATTATTTTCTCCAGCATCATATTGATCATATTCATGATATCTCACGATAAAAGGTCGAACTGCGTGAAGCCTCATATATTATCGAACGGTTCGGAGTGGTTCTTCCCGATCTTTGCGTCTTTGCCAACAGGTGTTACTTTGGTCTTAGTAGGCAATGGAAAAATAAAGTCCTTTCCTGGCGCCGTACGGTTAGAACACTGGAGTTCTATTCATAATTTAGCTGTAAACGAGTTTTGTGGAAATAAAACTGATGTATTTTGCATTACGATCTCGCAGTGCTCCTTGTGTGAACGAATTTCTGTCTCTAATTTCTAAAAATGCTGAAATGATAACGACTGCCGCTACAACAACAACAACAACAACAACAACAACAACAACATTGGACAACGATAACTTCTTATTATTGAAAAAATAAAAAAATAAAGTTGCCACCTCCAGGCATCCGTTTTCAGTCGCTAGGTGACATAAAAGAGATTTTAATCCTTTCATGTAAGGCTAGCGACTTTGAAATTGAAATATTTCGAAAGCTTCATGGACTGCCCATCAGCCAAAATCTTACGCCAGCACGCCCTTGTGGCTTGAAACCTTATTTTCCAGTTGAAGCATAAACGTAAGCAGTCCCTTACTCGTTGACCTACGAAGTTTCTAATACCGTCAATCTTACAACAGATTTCGCTGCAATTTGTTGGTAGGTTGGACAACCTTCCTAGTGCAGCCTTTAGAGCAGTTCCTACTCCGTCAGTTGCTTAATTGTCAGTATCGCCCTGTTGAGACTCGGACACGCAAAAATCTTAAAAAAATTACCGCACATTGGTGTATGGCTCTCGGAGCGTTCTCTATGACGTTAGTAATAACATTTAGGGACTTGCCCATCACTAATATAGTTATGCCTCCTACAGAGGCGAAATTAGCTTAGTTGTTTTCCCTTTAAACTTTTCAGTAGCTCCAATACTAGGGTCATGTCACGCCTCAGAAACTTTTGAACGACTCTCTATCGAATTTTTTTTGTACTCTTTTAAGTATTTTTCTATATTCCTTACAGAAGAGCTTATTATCGGCTATCTTGGCTACTTTGAATGGGCCTTTGGGCTTCCTGTTCCATCAAGGTGAGTTTGACCCATGATTCGCAAGCGGTGTAGCAGAGGTTTCAATTTCGAGACTTCACAACACTTCACGGTATTAGATCGCACGATCCATTAGGCCGGGACGGGAGATAATGCGCCCACGAAAAGTTATTTCAAATTAAATTGATTGTTTCGTTCACTCTAAGGTATCTAGCGCCATCTGGTCACTCAAGAACAACTCATTAACCATGGCTGTATAGCGTTGCATATCGACTGTAACAATATGACCGGCTTAATCTTTGAAGAAATGGAGATCAATGATTTCCTCTGCCCATTAGAGCAACCAAGTAGTGTGGAAATCGGGTCTGGATTGTAACTCCTCTTGGATTTTATTAGCCCGCAAACCAAGAACCATCTGTAATTGATACACGCTATGCGGATGGACTCAATTGGGTTTTCTTCGCTAACCTGCTCCACAGTAGCAAAAGCGTTTTCGGTGCGGTGTCGTTGTTTCGCCGTAAGTTTGTTCATTATGAAAAGGCAAACCAACAGCAAGAGAGTATAAATCAAGCAACAGCTGTCAAAAAAGACCAGTTCCGAGAAAATTATTGTCTAATTGAAAACCACAAGTCTAAAAAAACCACCCTTTATTTCTTATTTCTTTCTGAATTTCCCTTAGCTTATAAAAGACTCATGCCACGAACTCCACTCCTTCTTGCCAAAGCCGCAAAATTACTTCCGTTATATTATTTACTCCAAAACTATCGAAGAGCGTAAATCAAGAGCAACATACACAGCGGCGCAAGAGATGAAAAACTTTTAGAAGAGCTTAGCAAGTAGCTCCAATCAAAAGCGTTTACAAAACTACACTTTTGATTTTCCTTAAGTTTTCTGTGCCTCCAACCAAGCAAACAGTCACCAAACATTAATCGCAGCGTTCGGTTCGTCTTCTTCGACAGTACGTGCGCTTTAGTTTGCAGTAAGCCGCGATCTCGTTTACAGTGTGTGTGTGCGTGTGTGTGTGGTAAAATTTAAGTCGCGAGTGTTTAACCGGTGTGTCGCAGTGAGCAAGAAAGGGCGCAACAACGGAAAGCTTAATAGCGAATGTGAAAAGGTGATAAAGAGTATGACAAAAATTTGTTGCAAAATTTTTATGTTTTTTTTTTGATTTTATTTTTATTTTCATTTTGTGCGCTTGTGACTGATATTCGAAAAAGTGATGAGAAAAAGTGTATGAAGAAATAATTTATTTATGCAAAAAATGAAGCAAGTTTTTTTTTTTCTTTTTAATTAAGTTGAGGTGTTTTAAAATAGTTTTTTATTTTATTTTATATTTCATATTTTTTTTTGCAATAAAAAGTGTTTTTGATAAAAATGTTAACTTTTTCTGTGATTTATTTTGATATGCGACAAAATTTTGGGGGAAATAAAATGCTTAAATATTTGCAGACGACTTTCACGTTTTGTTGCACACACATCAGTATGTATGTAAATACTGTTGTATGTACATTTATATGTGAATTGTATATGTTTGTATGTATGTATGTGCACATCGGTCAAGGTAGTGTGCGCGTACTCAGCAGTTGGACGCTTCATTGATGTGTTGCTGTTTATAAGGTGAGTACGAATTGGACGTAGTAAAAATGTGAAGTAAAGGTGTAAAGAGTCAACATATTGAGAGTAAATATTATATGGTAAAATTTTCAATTTAAAACAATTTTTTATACTTTTTCCAGTATTTTTTCTTTCAAATATAGATAAAATTATTGCTTTATATAAATTAATACTCTTTAAAATTTACTTTATTGAACTTAATACTCACTTCATAACCATTTTCTGGTCTAGTAAAAAGTAATCCATTATTACTGTAATTGATGGCCTTAGTGATCTGTATTACCCATTCTGTAAGCGTGATTGGACTATGCTAGATGACGTTGGAAAGTTGTTATTTTATGCTAAGCAGATAATGGAAGCATTATTGATGTCTTAACTCAATAGTGTCCCCAGTGCATGTCAAATATACATCGATCAAAGATGGATTTTTCTTCAATAAAGGCATAATGGCAAGTCAAACAGCTGGAGATGTATATATGTAGTTCCGATACTCTAACATCCATCAAACAAAATTTCAGCTTCGTCAATTTCGTTGATTTAGTTTTGATGTAAAAGATGCTCCTGGGTGTGGAAGGGCAATTGTCGAAAATGTCCACAAAATAATGGATATCGTCAAGTCTGACGATCGAGTTCGATTGCACAGGAGCTAAGCATTGCACAAAAACCGGTTTTGAGCCACTTTAAAAAGTTTAGATATACAAAGAAGCTCGATGTATGGGTGCCAACTAAATTAACTAGAATAAATCTCATGAACCGAATTTCCATCTGCAAATCGCTGCTGCATCAAAATGAAACAAAATCAACCAATATCGGTAGCGGATGGTGACTGGTGTTGAAAAGTGAAACACTCACCGTAAAGTCGTATGAAAACGGTCTTGATCAAATAGCAGTGAGTCGACACTGCCAACCAGCTCCAAGCCAGGCGTGATAGCCAGAAAGGTTTAGTTGTGCTTTGGCAGGTACTAGCAAGGAAACAACCACTATGCACTACTACCCTATAAACAAAATCCTAATACTAATATGGGCTGCCAGTAATTGGATCGTCTGAAAGAAGTAATCGTTCAGGAGCAGCCAGTTTTGGCCAACAGGAGGGGAGTTCTGTTTGAACAGGATAA